TACATGTAGCTCCCAGTCCCGTTGGAGGCATGATTTGAACAAACTTGAATATACACTGACTGAGGATGCTTCCATATTTTTTTGACTAATCAAGAAATTAAAATATTTTTTCCCTAATATATATTTCTATGTAAACGTTTGATCTTCTATTGTGCCCCCCCCCCCCCGAGGACTTTTAATTTGATTGCCTGTTGTGGCCCCATCCTATCCCCGGGGCGTATGAGTTGACGAAATTTGAATCTACACTTGATCTACCTGAACGATGCTTCCATATAAATATGACCAATCATGGCTTTGCTGTTCAGGAAGACTTTTTTCCTATGTAGTCCTTTGTAAAACTTTTTGATTGTCCATTGTTGCCCCACCCTACCCCTCGGGGGTCATGATTTAAATAAACTAGAATATACACTACCTGAGTATGCTTCCATATGAATATGGCTTATCCTGGCTTTATTGGTCCCGGAGAAAAGATTTTTAAGGATTTTCCTTTGTATTCCCATGTAAAAGTTTGATCGCCAATACTATAATATAATATAACTATAATACAATACTCGCCTCATCCTACTCCCGGGGGTCATGATTTGAACAAACCTGAATCTACAATATGTCAGGAATCTTTCAAATGTTTCATCTTTTCTGGCCCAGTGGTTCTTGAGAAGAAGATTTTTTTAAATGTGCCCACCCAATTTTTACTATTTCTTAATTATCACCCCTAGGAAGACAGTGTGGCCCTTTACTTGAACAAACCTGAATGCCCTTTACCAAAGAATACTCTCGGCCAAGTTTGGTTGAAATTGGCTCAGTGGTTCTGGAGAAGATGAAATTTAAAAAGTTTACGACAGCAACAACAATGACGATAGACAACGAAAAAAAATTGGTAAGAAAAACTCACTTGAGCGTTCTGTTCATGAAAGCTAATAAATTGCATAAGTACATTTTCATCTTAGTCGTAAATTGTTTTGTAAAACCGGGTCCTGGTTTACTTGTGTTTTCGCAGAAATCTTCACACATTGTCTAAAATGCTATCTTTTTCTATACGTTCCAAAGTAGCACTCACCATACCTTGGTCCTATCTAGGCATATCAGAGCTGCTGGAAAAGGACATTTTTTCTGCTCAAGAATGAATGATTTTGTGTGGAAACCTTGCTACAATATCTGATGAAGTTATATTGGTCTGATTCAGTCAAATGAGGGACTACATTTCCGAAGTAAATAGAATTTCTATTCAGTTGTTTTCTATAGGAATTTTTTTAAATATGAAAAAATTGCCTTGAGAAAGATTGATAAATTAAAGATTAATTAAAGAATAAAGATTACTTATTGACTGGGTATATAACTTGGAGTATTAGAAAAGAGTAGGAGTTCAAAGTCTCAGTGGCACACCCCTACCATAATGCTGCAAATTAACCTCCTCCTCCCCAAACTTTAATAAGATGCACCAAAACAGTTTGAATATAGATCACTCATTCACCCACAAATGACATGTGAGGTTTTTTAAAGTCAGTTTTTGACATTTATTATTACCTAAAGTACAAAGTATTATAGCGCATACCAATAGCACTTTTACATATTTATGATAATTTTTGTTTACGATGCACGTGACTTCATTGACTTTGAAAATTGAATGGACACTGCTAACACGGGAATGTGATACAATTTTTTAAAAACTCAAAATCTAACATGTCGATTTCACAATCATGCATGGGGCGTAACAAACTTCGATGACAAATGCACAATTGTGAAAACATTATAAATAATTGTAAAAAATAAATTTCGTAGTCACAACAACTTTTCCTTTGCTAGGTGTTGTCTTATTATTGGAGAAGCTTAATAATTGAGGTCTGTACTTATTTATCAATATAATAATCATATGTGTTTCATGAAAGTTCTTTCCATTTGACACCAAAAAGAAAAAAGAGAACAATAAAAAACACATATTTATTGATAATTTTTTTTATGTATTTTCAAAACTTGTTTACTTAGATAACAGTAGAAAGATTTAGTTCCCGTCTGAATTCACAGAACGGTACAGTTGTAACAATTTACGTCATGTGAATGAATTAACTTTGTTTCTTTAAATTTTTAAAATTATTCAGAGTACATTTTACATGTGGATTATGGATAACATAAATCATGGAACTTTTTTTTTTCAAAGTTGCCAGATTGTTTGTGAAATATAATGTGAAGCTCAATTTAGAAGATAAACAATGGTTACAAAAATGAAAATTGAAGCAAGATACACAGCATGTGCCTACAGTATTTTCTATAATAGTTTTGTATATCTACATTCAGATCTTGGTAGAAAATGCCTTGCAAGAGGAGGCACCGCCATTTGTACAGCTAGCAACATTTTGTCATCGGTGTTAAAATGTGCAACTGGGTTCGAAACGCTTTGAACGTGAAAACCTTTATACTGCAATTCATTTACGATAAATATTGCAATTTTCTGTTGTTTTTACTTTATGCTGATTATATATATATATATATATATATATATATATATATATATATATATATATATATATATATATATATATATATATATATATATATATATATATATATATATATATAAAATGATTGTGTATTATTATTTGCTAATTTAATTCTTAACAAATTTTTCTTTGTTATGTTTTTCTCCTTTCACATTTTAAAGAAACAAAAATAAAGCATTTTCAAAACTGACATTTTAATTAATATTGACTTTTTTTCGTGTTTCGATGTCAAATATTAGATTATAAAACTCATTTATCATTGCTTTGACACTCTGTTAAAAAATTCAAATTTTGATTTTTTTTTCTTTTTTTTCTTTTTTCTTTCTTTTTTTTTTTGAAATAGACATTAAGAAAGAATTATAAGGAGTGTAATAAGTGTTGCTATCCTGCAGATTCGTCCACCTAAGGTGATAAAAAATAAACAAATGAACAGAAATACAACAGGTGAATAAATGGTTGACGATTCTAATGACAAATTCCTGGTTTATTCATTATTCTTTGTCCCTGTGAATTAAGTCTATATATTTACCAAAAATAGCGAAAGGGGGGGGGGAACAAAGTCAAGTAGGTTATGGTCAGTTAGTCATACTACATAAGTCAAAGAGAAAATCAAATAAAAATGGAAATTGTCTGTGTCTGTAATTATAGTGTGGGAAACATCGCGAGAGCCACAAGACGAGGTCAATCCTAGTTTTAGATACCGTGACCTTTCATTGATTTTGGGATTTGTAAACCACTTGTCACGTTTTGACACATTATAACATTTCTTCATAATTTTGGTTGCAAATATACTTAAGAACATAATTTGTGAAACAACCCTACTTAACTGTGGTTATTGCATGGTAACTTTTTTTCTCAAAAGTGTTCCCAGACACTGCTCATTGATACAATGTATAATATATATTTTTAAAATCTTTTCTATTTTAAAATCATATTTCCTTGCCACATTTACCACGTGCAGGTCGGAATACATACGCCTATTCTCGTTGGTTAATACAGTACCTATTGCAGTATGTCAAATGTAACAATCCTTTCTTTTAAATTTTGGTACATCTAAAGCAAATGTCCACAGTGCTTTGCAAAATCACCAAAGTATAGGTTTCATAAGTAATTGGTGTAATTAGGTCTTCAAGTTTTTATTTTCCTTATGCTAATTAAATTAATACAATTACATGTATATTTTAACGCTGACCCGGCCCAGTAAGAAATTATAAACATGACCGTGCCCGCGGGGTGTGACAAATATTCCATGATAATTAGAAAAACCAAGTCCAAACAGAGAGGTTGATGTTATTACAATTAAGATAATAGACCGATAAATACTCAAGAAATGATAAGCCAGATTATTTTGTTCATTCATATAAGACTTATTTTACTGATGTTTACAGTAACACTAAAGTTAACAATGATGATTCAATAGAAATGTACACCTTTGTCATGTTAAATCGCATGCCGACACATGCAACTACTAAAAATTATAAAACATCTGAAAACAATTTCATAGTAAGTGAATAAAATATTTTTAACTCATTACAAAATTTTTTAAAGAACATTTAAATGTTTATAAATTTTGAGGGTCATGCAGGATTTTGCGGCAATAATACTTTCAAACGGGTGGGTTAGGGTAAAGTATTTTATTTTTAAGAGGATAAATGACATATTGTAAATAATGAATTTATCGGGTGGCAGTGTACATGTATATACAAAATTTACGATTAGACTATTGTAAAAATTGTATTTACTGTCATCCATGCAGTAAATTCAAAATTTACAATACGACGTTATGAAAAAAATATATCTTAACCTATGACAAACAACTTGCCCAAATTTGAAAAAAAAATGGTCATAACACCAAATTTTATATTTTATTAAAAAATTGTAGGAAGGCAATTCTATTTTTATTATATAACACGTTGCTTTGACTCAAAAAAATATAAACAGTTAACATAAGATTTCCATAATTACATTTAGTATATCATATTTCATTAACTTTTTTCCTTTTATTTAAGCGACTCGGATCCATGCAAAAATACAAAACGATTGTAATATTATCATACGGCAGAGAACCAAGACAGAGTAAACGAATTACCACGTACAGAGAGTAGTTCAAACACTACTAAAATTGTTTGGAGAGAAATATTGCGGGATAACATCTACATCTATTTACAGTCTTGCCAATTTTATATTAGAGTGTACACATAAGAGTACTAATTCAAAAGTATTATAATACAAATCTTACGGCCTCAAGATTTTCGTATGCCCTTTACGACAACCTTGAAACATTTTAAAGGACAAATCATTCACCCATTGCCGTTATCGTTGTTAAAATTAAAGATGACAGTGAAATGAGTGAATGCCATATGATCAGTAAAATTCAATGCTGTTGTTTTAAGTTAATTACGTCGTCATTTGAGTGGCACCCGCTGTCACACTAAAAATAGAGGAGAAAGCTGTTAAATCCGCGCGCCAAATTAGCGCGGATCAATAGATTTTTACCCGAGATCACTGAACCTTATCCAATACAAAAGCTAGGTATGCATTCGGTTTAAAGCTCAAGACGCAGTGAATTGTGAAGCTGTTGTAAAGGGGGCCAATCATATATTTAAGTTCAAATACAACTGGATTTTATTTACATATAAGGAAGGTAGGAAAAATGGAAATTTTACTTTTTATGATCCAAAACAAAATAAATGTGTATGCTACAGAGATTAGGGGGTATATATACCATTATCCTACTTAACAAAGTATTGTTTTACTATAAGGGGTGTAGTATGACTTAATATGAATGATTCATAGGGAATTTCAAGATGGCTTTACATGTACGTAGATGTTATGTATCGATTTATTTTGAACGGATGTAAACATCAGCATCGCACCTGGACAGGTGAGTTTGCCATACCTTACCCTACCTTGGTCACCGAGAGAAAAAATAACACAAAAATTCTCATTTAGAGAAGAGAGACTTGTATATAAAACATAAGTACTGTTTTGTAACAATTTATTTATTGAAATGCAATTGTACAGTTATGGCGTCTTCGTGGTTTTTAAGGGAGACTAATTTGGAAGGGAAGGGTAAGAAAACACCTACCACGATTGCCTTCAACTCCAAAATTAACAATTCAAATTAGTTATTATTGATAGAAATCTGATCCAACATAAACTGAGATTATTATATCAAAAACAAAAGAAAGAATCAGATAAATGTCTGTATTTCAAAAGGAGGCTTAAAGACTATTAAAATGAATTTCATTTAAGAGAAACAGTTTTATTATACAGTAAAAGGTTTTATGTGATATATCAGAATCAAATTCAAAGCATTCATACAATTCATACAATTAACGCCATGATTATCATGGCAAACACACGACTTCCGGTTAAAAACTGAATAAGTCGCAGAACATTGCTAAACAGTGGTAAACATCGAAGTCTAACAAAGAACATGCAATTTCTTGTTAAAACATTTACAAGAACTTTCCAACAATGGAAAATTTGAGGCTAATAGTTACACCTTCAATTATGCAATAGACAAGATCGAGAGAAAGTCGGGCATGCGTTGATCAGATAATGCGGAGTCATGTATCAATGGTTTTACACACCGGCAATAAAACAACAATGTGTGATGCTGCATAATTTGAAACCACTTGCCAAAAGTAAAACACGCCCGTTCGAGTTAATAAACGGATTCACAGATAAGCTCAATGAATTTACATACTAAAATACTTGTGTACCGACGACGTCGATAATTTTACTACTCTGACATATATTTACATCAATTGTTCTACCATCTTAATTCATGATAAACTTAACGTAAAAGGCCAATCTCTATGAAGTTAAGAAAAACATTTATAACCTCTTTGTAATTTCAATTTACTATAATTCAGAAATAGACTTTGTATTACGTACAGCGGGCTTTTAGTTTATACGGTATACCGTATACCCCTGCCACTGCGATAGCTCAGTACCACACCAGCCAGGAGCCCAAATGACACCGAGATCTCATATTTTTAATTGCTTTCAAATTTTCTTAAATTAATCTCCGGGATTTACTAGACAAATGCAGTTCGATCTTCAGCTTAACATCTAGACTTAATACACACATAAATGCATGAAAAACTGTACAGTGTAAATGATTTTTTTTTCTTGCATTTTTAAAATATACCTTAGGATTAACATGTAAAACTATGTAAAAGTTTAAGTTTATACATCTAAAAAAGATTTTAAAATTTCAATAAGGTTAATGGACGCAATGACTTTTTAATAATGTCTTAACGAGATTTTACTTTCGAAATTTTACGCTGCTCTTTGCCCTCAATGACGAAGGCTTCACATGGTGCCGAACTCTCCTACCACCTAACGATCATTAATATAAAGTGATTTTGCGTCATAGAATGCCTTCTACATGCAATTTATCATCTCAAAAAAGAGTAAATTAAAGTGATCAAACATGTACTGCAAAAATACAAGAATGAAATTGAAAGTTTTATTGCAGGTTAAGCAGACATTCAGAGATGAGCCATGTGTAAAGTCCTATTGCTTTCTATCTTGACTTTGGGCTTTAGGACTGCACACTCACAGTTCTATGGTAAGTTTTATAGATATATTTCTTTAAAATGCAAATCGTAGAATATGTGCAAATATTGGCTTTCGATTGTAACATTAATTGTGCTGATTGCAAAGGATTGACAATATGCGCCTGTCATGCGCTTAGGGATAAAAACAATGGTTCCTATACCTATTTTCTATTCTACCTTGACGTTGGTAAATGCTATACACATCTATTCCCTTGTTATGTGGGTTAGCTCATCTCGAAGAAGTTTGGGAGAATTTATGTTATACTCCAATTCTTAGCGTTCCAGACCCCGGATTAAGTTTTGGAAGAAAGTCCATTCCACATATAGTAATACGTCATACCAACCAAATTTGCATGTTATTTATGAATGGATGATAACTACCTACCACTCATGCTTCGGGTACTCTGACATAGTAATTACAGTTTTAGAGTTTTTGGAGCAGGCCCTTTCCCTAGTAACTTTAAACTCTGCCGTGACTATACTTGCATGGATGATGCATAAAGTGATGTATTCTTCGTATGTTGTATCATAGTTATGTTTCCCGAGTGGTCCAATAATGGTTTTGAGGCAGAGCATTTCTTATGTAACTCAAGCATCACAAACTGGTATAACTGACATGTTGTAAATTATGAATTCACAGGCAGCGCATAAATATTATATAAATACTGCATGTAGCTGAGTGTAACATTGAAAATTTTCACCCCAAGAAAACCATTGTCAACCGAGGCGCATATAATATTACTTTTTTGTATTTACTGCCACCCGGTAAATAAATAAAATTTAAAATATGACATAACTAAAGATGCACAGCATTGTTTTGCTTTATATGCTTAATTTTTCAGATGAGTAACTACAACCCCTAAAATATTGTACATAAATATAAGATTGAATTTTTATATGGAGCAAAGTAAGATATAACAACATCTGATTTAGAGTTGTCTGAGAAAACAATACAATTTTAGCAATAGTGAGGCATGTCACAAGGGCCAGAAAGTCGATATTGTTTAGTTTATAATTTTCCATGCATTGATAATAAATATACTTATATCCTAAATTATGAAAGATCTATAGACAAATTTTTACACTGCAACACACACAACCAATCTCTATTTTTCTACCGGTATGTTATCAAATGCGTATTTCTTAAAAGATCAATTAAATTAAATTTTAGTCGGATATTAATTACATGCAAAAAATCTATGCAACATTACTCTAATTAATAATTGATTACAATTCTTCACACTTCTGTTTCAGAATGCCCGGATGATTGGGTATCGTACGATGTAGGCCAGAGATGTTACAAGTTTAAGGCGGTTCCCACCGCCCGATATGACATGGCGGTAGCTCACTGTGTGGTTAGTTATTAACAACATTAAAATTCAGTAATTCACCACTCTTCTTCTTAATCCAAGGTTTTCGGTCCGCTAACGTATCGGACCGAAAGCTTTTGGCTATAGGCTTTGTTGGAAGCGTAGTGGAGATAGCTTCACCACCTTATATATTTTTCTTTTGAAGAAAAAAACATATTTATTTCAGTGTAAATTTAGAGTAGGTACACAAACTTTAAATGAATCTAATTGTAAGCCTGTTTTGACTTTCATAGGAGGAAGCCAGCAGTGCCTATGTTTTGGCCATCAATGATGCCCAAGAACACAGTTTCATCAGCGATTGGTTGACAAACCAAGACACAGTCAGGTAAATAAGTCAATCATTACCATGCTTAGGAATTTTATATTTAAAATGTGACACGACTGTGACAATTAATTACCAAGTTATTTTAGACCTACAGAGAAAACAGAAAGAAAAACGCTTAATGTTTTCTTCTCAGTATCGAGAAAATCATAGTATAAGACTATAAGATAAAGCAAATCTAATTTGATTGGAAAGGATGGGGGTGAATGCGATTTTTCTGTTTATGTGCTGTCAAATCTTGAACTAAGTATTTAGAATTTAAACGTAAAGAGTGAATAAAACTAAAGATCAAAGAGAGCTAAGATGGGTTTATTTACCAATACCAAACACTAAAGCATAATGTGGCCGCTGTAAATCTTCATTTGTAAACAGGAACACCGGATTATCATCAGGAATTAATAATAATGTATCAGTCATCTTCAAACAGTTTTAAACATAAATGCATGCCTTCTGCTCTTTTAAGATCTGGTCGGTAAATCAGACATTATAAATTTAAACATGACCAAAGATAATTTAGATGGTACTAACGGACTATCAAATTTGTGACCATTTAAAACTTGTTTTCTCACTTTTGCCATCATATTGATCATACTTCTTATGTAGAAAAACAAACAACACAATATCTACACCATTTTTTCCAAAATAAAATTAATTTTTTAACTTGTCATTTATCTAAATAAATTTAAAGTTATCTACAGGAACTGTCAGAGACAAATGTTTGCTTTAGACATCTGTGTTTGCAGGCGATGACTACAAAAAAAATAAAATAAATAAAATTAAACAAAAGGTACCACTACAAACTAAAATCCCAATTACTCTGTAGGCGTGTTCGGTATAGCCGATATAACTTTGTCTGTTTAAAGGCGTGTTCGGTATAACCGTTAAAACTTTGTAACTGTTATAACTTGGTCTGTTTGTAGGCGTGTTTGGTATAGCCTTTATAACTTTGTCTGTTTGTAGGCATGTTTGGTATAGCCGTTATAACTTTGTCTGTTTGTAGCCGTGTTTGGTATAGCCTTTATAACTTTGTCTGTTTCTAGCCGTGTTTGGTATAGCCTTTATAACTTTGTCTGTTTTTAGGCGTCTTTGGTACACTAGTGGCATCAAGAATCCGTCTAATCCCAGCAATTACAGATGGGACGGGGATAATACGAATCTGAGGTTTGACCTTAATTTCTGGAATGATAACGGGCAGCAGCAACCCGGAAATATGATTGCTTACGCTTTCAACGGTAGGTCGCTCTGTAAACTGCAGAAACTATATTTGGTAAAAACAAAAATAAACTATATTTTTATTTTAAATTTATAAACTGAAAAAAAAACCAGTTTCTACCCAGAGTTGTCGTCCTTTTAACGCAACTATTGTTTGATAGGAACGACAACTCTTCGAAAAAATTGGCAATTTGCAATATATTGTAACTTCATTTGCCAGACAGTAAGGCATGCCCGGAACTTTCTCCACACTGTTGATGAGAACGTTCATAAATTACTCCATCGGACAACTTCGTAAAAATATTAGTCAATGACATATTTTTGGGATATTTATGCTTTAAATTTGATAGAGTTTTTTTTTGTGATATCAAAATCAACGCATTTTGCATAACAATATACATTTACTTGCTCAACCTAAGCCATTTTAATTAAACATACAACATTGTAAAACAAACAAAGATACTGTAGACACACATGCATGGCCATGCTTAATAGAAATCAACATCACAAGAAACAGTTTAATTTTATATCACACATCTGTTAGAAAGTAGGAAAGTTCCAAACATGAATGAAAGTGGAATTAATATAATCTCAACCATTTTGTGTTTTGATGTGGTTTTAGGTATTAGCTATGGATGGCAACATGTTTCATCCAACAGGAGTTTGTCCTACATTTGTGAAATCAGTCAACAAGATGCCTACACCATTTTGACACAAAAACGTGATTTCAGTAAGTGTGTTCAAAAATGAAATGTTGAATGAATGATTGTTATTTGAAAGAAGATTAATACGTGTTTTCAGTACATCTGTTAGACAAATTGTTCTTTCTTAAACCATAAGCGAGATTTTTTATATATATATACAGATTATATACATGAATAGACTAGTTGATAGTATATACTTTTAAATAAATTTTGTAGGCTTTGGGGTAGTTTCCACAGACAAGAACGATATCAAATACGGTCCAACCTTTACTGTGGTTCCCTCTGACGTCACAATGATCGCCAAAACTCCATCGCTGTTTATCGAGTGCCGGGCGTCGTCCAACCCCCCGGCCACTTACCAGTGGTACCGTGGACCAAAGACTAATCAAACTCTGGTAAAAATCCTCACATTGTACACAATAGACTAGTCTTACAATTCACTTTTTAGAAGTAGGGGACTGAACAAATCTGTTTTAGTAGAATTTTACGTGTATCGTTGCTATTCTATTCAACAGTGGATTTTAATATAATTTCAACATTCCTCATTATAAATTGGTTCTACATTTAATTTTGAAACCTTATTTTAATAGTAATGGTTTTTAACAATTTTATGTCTTTTTTTAGTAGTTAACTTAAGCAGGGTAAAATTCACTTCTTTTTTTACAATTACACCTGATGTAACGTGTTTGACAGGTGAATAAGGAAGAGGTAAGGCGCAGTCATATCTAAGGACAAAACTATACTCTGATGTATATATAGTATAGAAAACTAACGTCTTATACACGGACGATAACCAAACAGGTGCACATGCATCTATAAAAAAAAATCACACGTATTCATAAGCTGTATTGGTATATAACCAGGAGATTGATGATCAATTCATTGGCGGATCCATGATTTCAAGCTGGGGAGGGGCAAACTTAATAAAAAATGAAGACAACAAAAAGTCAATACTTGCAATAAATATGAGTTTAATAGCATAAGTTGAATTAAGTCTTTCTTAATTGATTATTTTACTGGGGCTCGCACAGGATCCCCCGACGCTGCAATTAATGTAGTAACAAATATAATCACTGATTCCTCAATATACCAAATAAGGTTAATACACGGGGCTGAGACCGATTTTAAGTCACAATAAGTCTCTATACTTCAGCAACTCTTAAGCAGAGATGAGCAAAGTGCAGGTATTTCACTTACAAAAATAATGACATGAAATTTTCGCTGTGACATGAAATTATATCCCTTAATACATGGCATCTGAAAATTCTAATATTACATGTATTATATTCTTGGTATTAGCGGACCGTCTAAATACTTATATTTATAATGGTATTCGATGTCTTACTAAATCCACAGGGAAACAAAATAATTTTAAAAGTTTATGACAGTAATAGCCAAACATACTGGCTTCAAAGAAGTTTCAAATGTCATATGTACATGTACTTCTATCTATTTTGGAAATATACAAGGATATACAAAAGTCTATTACCTATACATTTATTTTCAAAATCGAAAAAAAGCACACAACTCATTATTCTCTGGAAAGGAAAATAGGACCGGAATTTTTTGCTGGCCTTTAGCTTTTAGACAGGATATACACACACAAAGAGGATGAATATAAACAAATGTGACAAAAAGTAAAGAAATAGCTGAGGAACCTCTCGTTACTTTTTTTGTTTGTTTTATGCATCTGGAAGAGCAAATTATGTTAAACTTAAAAAGACAGCTTCTAACCTAAACAAACAAATGATATGCCGTCGCATTCAAACCAGTGAAACATAGATCTATTTAAATCAGATTCAATGGGAATTCAATTTAAAAACAAATAATCATCCATACAATGTTTAAACATATCAGAAGATTTCACTTGAACCATTTTAGTTCTTGTATCTGTAAGTTTCCCTTACCATACCATCAAGACATACTTACCCACATGTTTATCATGATATCTCCCGCCATTTTTGTGACATTTCCCCCCTCCATTTCCAGATTAGTCCCCAGACAAACGTTCGGTACACGTTGACGAATGGTAAGCTGTCCATTCAGAGCCCCGTGGAAGAGGACGAGGGTCAATACCAATGTAGGGCCCATAATCAATACGGAACCATTGTCAGTAACCCCATCAATATCGACTTTGGATGTAAGTCCTTTACACCGGATATGAAGTATCTTTTGTATTTTTTGAACAAGACTTTGTCGGATTTTGAAATTTTTGTTACATAACTACAAGTTTCGCATATTTGTCAAACACATGTAACTGAAAACGAAGAATATAAACGTATAAAACCACTTAAAAAAATTAAAGCCTCATTGTGGAATCAAAGTGGAGAGAATAATATACATGTACATTCGGTTGCAAAAGTGTTTTAGGTGATAGTGGGGAAATCATGATATTTAAATCCGTTACAGGAGTAATTTTTCTGAAAGCAAAGACATTCTCCATTTTTATTTTTAGATCTTGGAGAATTCTCCAATGTTGAAAATGCCCCCACACGATCTCTGGCGTATGAGGGAGCGGTCATTGAATGCTCGCAGATTAATTATAAGCCAGGTAAGAATTCAATCTCTGGCGTGCGAGGGAGCAGTCATTGAGTGGTCGGAAATTAATTACAAGTCAGGTAAGAATACAATCTCTGGCGTGCGAGGGAGCAATCACTGAATGCTCGAGAGGTAATTACAAGTCGGGTAAGAATACAATCTCTGGCGTGCGAGGGAGCAGTCATTGAGTGCTCGAGATATAATAACAAGCTAGGTAAGAATACAATCTCTGGCATGCGAAGGAGCAGTCATTGAGGGCTTGGGAGATTAATTGCAAGCCAGTTTAGAATGCAGTCTCAGGAGTGCGAGGGAGCAGTCATTGAGTGGTCGGAAATTAATTACAAGTCGGGGAAGATTTGTATTTGTTTTACCCTTATTACAAATTAAGCGGTGCAGATCTGAAGTACCGCTTTGAAATAATATCTTTAAAAGTAGGTTGATGTTCATTTATCTTATGTGTTTTATCTCACGTTATAATCATTCTTTATACGACATTATTTTCATTGCATTGCCAAATGATGTCTAAATTATTCTTTATACGCCACGTTTTCATAGCATTGCCAAATGATGTCTGAATTGTATTTAGTTTCAATGAAAGTAGTGCTTTTCAAAGAAAGATTAACAGTTACAGTGCTGAAATTTAGCAAATGATATATGTTTTATTATATTACGGGGTTATCTATGTATTACTGGTCTTGTTTCAGCGGCAACCTATACCTGGAGAAGACGCAGTACGAAACACGACAATTCACACAATACAAACGGTTATATAAACGAAGATATTTATATCATCGAGACTGAGAAATTACCATACATCTTCATCTCCAATAACGGCAAACTTTACTTCACCGAGGCCACATATGCGGACGCCACGGATTATTACTGCGAGGTAAAATATAGGCCCTTTACGAGATGTTAATGATATATCTAATTATCTAATTTACCTGTCTCAGTATTCTAATTCAGCTACTCTAAGTTAATCTGATAAGTACATGTAAATGAAAAAAAAAATGAAACTGCAGATGTTTCACTGATAAAGTGTTATGACTTCATCAGTAGTTAGTTATACGAATTGTATGAAAATTTGGGGGGTTCTTTTTGGATCAAAATTTGTCCGTCTGTCTGTCAAATCTTAGACTCTTTTTCAAGATATCCGTGCTAATGTTAATCAATTAAACTTACATGAAGATTCCTTTGGTGAAAGAAATTTAAATGTGCTTTAAGAACCCTCTATTCACTGCACACTAAAGAACTGATTCTATGGTATTTTTTACGGAGTCAGAGTAATTTGTCCTTTGACAAAAAAAATTAACAAATTGAAATATTTAGCCCATTACTCAAATTGTATAGTGAATTTAGGCATTCTAAACATTTGAATAGTCCAAGATAAATAAACGGAACACTTTCTTTGCATGCATTTCCCCCACTTTAGTAAATTTCTGTTCATCAATACTTCAATATCTTTAAATAATTTTCTTGGGGGTGAATGTCACATACCCTATGTTGAAAATGAAATAGATAAGCTCATTATTTCTACCTTTATGCGACAAAAAGTTTCTCCATGTCCAGATAACATTTTGATTTAGTGTATAATTTAAATGGAATTCTTCCCCTTACAAAACAAGCAAAAGAAACAGAGTGAGGCGAACAAATTGAGAAAAATAGAATTGTTGCATGGCTCATGAATTTTTAGGTTTCAGAAAGTTAGAAGTTTTACAACCTAAAAATTCTACTTTTTCAGCGTGAAAATTTATAACCGTATTGTACAACACATAAATATCACGATGCCTCGCTCCCATACGAGAATGCAAAATAGATGGCGTAGAAAGTCGTGGACCGATTATTTTGACAGAATCTGCATATTACTCCGATTCCTAATCTATAAATGTCACGTGACGTTGTAATTGCTGATAACGACACGGTTGATACAACCTTAAGTTTGTATTCCCGGCATTTACACATGTATATCTCACTCTGCTGGTTTACAGTTTATCAAAACTTTGCTAAAATTATATTTTTAAAATAAATCTTGTAATTTATGATACAAATATAATAAACAAAATGTGTCATTACGACTCACTGCGTTTCTTTAGGCAGGAAACAGAGAAAAATACAAGAATTATCATGATAGGGTGGAAACTTGTTTTAAAGAACTACTAGACTATAAGAACAAGAACCACTAAAATGGGGTCTCCTAAGGGAAACAAAAGACCAACAACACTATATCTTGTCTTATTTATTTTTAAAATGGAGGTTTTTCGTAAACTGTGGGTTGAAACTGTGAAAATCATCTTGGTTTGGGTTTCACAGAGTTAATTTAGGATTCATTATTCAGAAAAAATATGAGCATTGTTTCCCATGCGCCTTGTGTTGTATCTTGACAGGTAACGTTAAACGTCCCTAGCAAACAGAATGTGGTCGGCTCAAGTCAGGCCCCCAGCCGAATGAGCAGAAAGATCCCCTTAGAAATCCTCAATCAAGGTAAGCCTTATGGAATAAATGCGTATCCACTTAGAAATCCTCATTCCAGGTGAATTATTAAGCCTTAATAATGGCATGTATCCCCTTAAAAACCTCAGTTAAGGCCAGCTATTAATTTTTGAAAATCCCACATCAATTATGGTATATGTGCGGTATATGATTCAATCTTATAATTAAATGTATGCTACAGAATAAACCGAAAAGTTTATTTTGAAGCGCTAAGACTTAATGCATTTACCATACTGTTTAGTAAAATCTTCATGTTTTGTGATACATTTTTGCTGGACTTAATTAAAACTGGGTAAGAAAGGAAAGACAGTCGCACCTTGTTTAATTTTAATCATTTACAATATTACCTTTCAGCTGCAAAGACAGAGTGGGGTCCAGTCATCCACCCTGACTTTATCGAAGTCTCCCCTAGTCCCCCTATGAGAGGACACAAGGTCAGAATGGAGTGCTTCGCCTACGGCACGTAAGTCTTTACAGAATACATATAAATAATTCTTGTATACAGATAATCAAGAGGCTCAAGGGCCACAACGCTCCATAAATCACACTATTATAAGTTTGGCTCAGGTGAACTGAAACGTCATATGAAAGTAAAGTTGAACACAAGGGCGGACTTTATATTTATTTCTGTGAAAACTGCTTTATAACAGGGCTGTAGAATACGAACAGACTTGGTCCTACGGCTGGAGTAAGGTTGGCGGGAGAATGCCGGACAGGGCAAAGTATCACGACTTTAACCGAGTGGTGGAGATCGATGATATCCAATACGAAGACGAGGGGACGTATCAATGTATCGTCAAAAGGAAAAGCTCTATTGCCACAAAAGAAGTCCTGCTGTCTGTAGAATGTAAGAGAATTAGACGAGAACCATTACTTTCATACCACAATTAAAGTTGCCACCATGGATAATATACACATGTATACTGATAAGGTGTTATGCATATGATCAAAAGGCAGATTTAGCTTATAAAGTAATGTTTGTTGAAAATGTTTCATAGTAAATCTTATTTGCTTACAGCTAAGCCCTATTTTCTGATTCCCTTGGACCACAAACACTTAGATGAAGGTGTGGAGACTTCGTGGCGGTGTCTGGCTTACGGTAAACCTACTCCTACCTACTCCTGGTATATCAATGGAACGCTATTTGATCCCAACAGCAATAACGATATAGTAGTAAGTGTATGTCATAGTTATTGAATATGGCCCTGCTGTGGCTCTGCTTTAAAATGCAGCAGTAATCGCCATGCCTGTTTGTGAACACTTTAATGTGTTCTTTTTTTAAACTCAATAATACATTGTTACTTCATCATGTTTACCGTAAAAGTGAAAGAAGGGTATATATATAGATGGTTCTACTTACAAAAAAACTATACCACTTGATACACAGTTTAATCATTTTGTTATATGCTTGATGTATATATAATATATATGATTTCTAGCTCTCTGATTGACTTAGATAAAAGATTGTAGAAATCATTTTCACCTCGCCATTGGGGTTCAGTGAATATTGACTCCTCAGGTAGCTAAATCACTGTACTGATTAAAAAACAGCAATATATTATGTTCCTCGCAGGTTAATCGGAATACGATGACCATAAGAAACGCTAACGCCCTCAAACATAATGGCATGTACCAGTGTGCTGCCACCAATGTCCACGGCACGTCATTTAGTGCAGCTCAAGTCCGGGTGCTGGGTAAGGATTAAAAAAATACTGATTAAATACAGTTTCATTGCCGAAAGGCATCAAGCTCTTTGAATTTGGCACATCGGTCTTGTGAATTGTCAAACACATAAAATTTCATGAAAAAAAAAATAATTTATGGACTAGATTTGCTATAGATAACACTAGCTATTTTGTACGGTGGTGCACCGTCCACTTACTTTCTCAGTTTCTACATGTATCTAATTATTTTGTGCAGAATAAAGATGCATTATGTTTTCACCACCCTACTTCTACTAGCTTGTTATTCATTTTAGCATTCCAACCAACCTTCAAGAAAAAGCAACTCCCAGAAAGCATGGATGCAGCTCTTAACGGAGAAATCATCATTCCTTGTGAACCAGAAGGAGCACCCAAACCGGAAATCACGTGGTTAAGGAATGGTGCAGCGATTGGTGGAGACTCTCGGGTTCAAGTTATGCCCAATAATTTTTTGAAAATAACCAACATTGGCTATGGAGACCAGGGCTACTATGAATGCAGAGCAAAGAATACTCACGGAAGTGATGCAAGTTTTTGCAAGCTTAATGTGAAAGGTAATGTCATTTTTTTTTTGGTAAGCAAACTACTAGTACTACAAAAAAATCAGCAGTTACAAACCAATTAGCTAGAAGTTAGAAATAGTAAATGTACCTCATCAAATATCGGGATATACAAATTACTAAGCATAGAAGTAGCACTATATCAAAAATCGGGATATACATTTATATATGGAAACATTATCACACACATAAAGGATTTCAAATAAAAATAACATCTATACATGCAAATTTTACTGTGGAAAAACTCGCGATCAAATTGAGTAACACTACATTCCAAAAAATGCGAGTACATGTTAATAAACATTCATTACATTTAAAAATGTGACTTTTGTGATCAGAATTTTTTTTAGTCAAAATCAATAGAGAAAAAGTGGATTTAATATGTTTCCTTAACAGTTGGTACAACAATAAGTTACCCCCCTAGTCCCAAGACCGAGGTATACCAAAACAAGACGGCTCTGATCTATTGCACGGCGTCCTATGACGTGTCACTGGATCTCGTGTATGTGTGGACCTTCAGCGGGAAAATAATAGATCTCCAGAGAAACGCTCACTATGAAATGGTATAATTCCACAATCACCGTATTAATTTCTATAGTGTGAAATGGTATTTTACAAAATTCATCTTATTTAGCTCTATCTAGAGATTTACATAAAATAAAACACAGGCTCATTTGAAGAAACTAAGCCATGAAACACCATAGTGACATCTATTACTATTACATGTAAATTCTCTCTACATCAACTATAATTTTTGTTTACAACAGGCAAACTTGCCATCAGGCAAGGGTTTATACATCAAAATGGCACAGTTCTATCATGCAGGGAAGTATGAATGTATTGCACGAACGCCACTAAACGAAGCTAGGGCGGCAGGGGAACTGGCGGTGTATGGTAAGCGATATATTCTAAAGTTTAAAAGAGAAATGATCACTTAGTCAATATCCATGAAGTCTTCAGTCAGCATTCTTTTAGAACTTTCATGTTTTATATGCTTTCTCTCTCAGGACCCCCTGGCGTGGTTGGCGGTCTTTACGCAGACCCAGGAACCCCCACTACTACCTCCATCGATATTTTATTCTTTCCTGGCGCAAGTCATGGGTTTCCCATCGAGTACTTCATTGTAGAGTTTGAAATTCAGTCGGAGAAGGGAACGTGGTATTTCAGCAATGAAACACACAGTAAGTAAAGGTTTTTTTTAAAAAATGACACAAATTACTTTTTGTTTAGTACATGATGTGACCACTGAACGTGCAGAAGTGATAAATAAGAATACTTGGTAGAATTAGAACATGATTGTTCTTGTTTTTAGCCGTTTTTGCGCCTTCGACGGTCATTTCTGGAAACGACCGTGACATGCGGACCATTACAGTGCGCGGGTTAAATCCGGGCAATGGATACAGCTTCCGGATAAAAGCAGTAAATGTACAAGGAGTCGGTCCACCCTGTGTCCCGTCAAGTGAGTATCTAGCAGATATAACGTATTATGAAACTTTATTAAGACTGGCTTTACTTTAAAGAAATTCATTTAAAGACATAAATGTACAAGGACGAATACTGACGAAACAGCGCAACTCAAACTTCCAAAGTAAACACCATAAAAAGACATCATAGTCTAGGGATACGTTTTACGAAAATTATAGTCAAGCTTAATATTTTCTTTTTTTATTAGGTGCTGTGAACACATTAGAGGCTGCCCCGGCTGAGCCCCCTAGCAACCTCAGTAGTCGAACAGAGGGCGTGGAAGTAGGTCAACTGATGATCACATGGAAGGTTAGTGTAGATAAATTAAAGAACTGAAAGTGATGAAAAGAATTAAATCTGCAAGTCGAAATCAGTAGGTCAACTGATGATCACATGGAAGGTTAGTGTAGATAAATTAAAGAACTGAAAGTGATGAAAAGAATTAAATCTGCAAGTCGAAATCAGTAGGTCAACTGATGATCACATGGAAGGTTAGTGTAGATAAATTAAAGAACTGAAAGTGATGAAAAGAATTAAATCTGCAAGTCGAAATCATTCTAAGACTGTAATAATGTTATGGACCGTCCGTAGAAGGTCACGATTCCAAATATAAGACGTCGTAGAAAGGTCTGCTATGCTCGAACCACCAATCATGATAATTGCAGGCCACACAAAGGGGTCGAGCAGCTGGTTATGTTGATTGCTTCTGTCCATCTGTATAATCAAAACTTCCAATTGAAATTGTACTTGAAACGTTATAACACTTTTAAGTTACTTTACGATGGAGTATTATCAAACATTTGTCATATTACTTATATTAATACAGCTTCTCAAAATTTTATAACATCAAGCATAGAAAGTTTAAGACCAGGAAAAATGGAAAATAACACTAGTATGCCGTCAGTCTTGAACTAGTCAAGGCCATATCATGGACCTAAAATGTTTCTGAAATAATCCTTTAACCTGAGCTGGTTCTTAATGTTGTTGGAATGCTTATGAGACAGGTCAGTGGTGTATTTATAGCGAATTTCGGAGTTCACGTCACTTGCACTATGAGAGACAAATGCTACATGTGTATGCTCTCTTCTGACTTGGTGGTGGGTAAGCAATCTTTACATGACAAATTAAGCTGGGATTTGCGTTGACTGACATTTGATCACTAATAAGTCACCACAAGTCGCACGATTGCCTCCGACTTTTATTGCCGTCGATCTTTTCCATTGCTGGTGATTATAAGCACCATCAATCGATTATCGCATGTATCAGAAATCAATAATCTTATCCATCTGCAATCGATGTCTTACCGCTAGGCTTTAGGAGCAAATAAAAACTGCAACCACTTAAGGAATTCAACCAAAGAGTCAAAAATTGCATGAATTTGTGACGTCATTTATTGTAAATGTTTACCTGAAATTAAAAAATAATTATTATGTGGTCAGTGTTTTACATGCGACTGAAATTTAATCTAGTAGAGGTACATGTCAATTAACATCAAATCCTTAAAAGCAGTTAAGTTATCTCTTCTAGTACCTATTATTCAAAAATTTCAACTTGCATTATGAAGTCCTTGTTTTTCTTGTATGGTATAAAGTTATTGGATATCTAGACTCCTTATTTATTACATTTAGTTGTTTATAACTTTATATATTGTATTGATATTCTTTTCTCTTCTTTTGGTTTTTATAGAAATTACCTCTAAGATACCATGGCGCCAATGACTTGTCATACATAGTGTACTATAGATTGTTCAAGCCGAACTCTGCCACCGACTCTTTGTGGAACAAGGTGAATTTTTCATCAAGTCAATTTTGAGGGGAAAAAAAAACAATACAAGTATTTCACCATTAATACCTCTGTTTTTTACTTACAGAAAATCATAACAGACTGGCAACAGGAGCAGGTGGTTGTACAGGTGGGAGAGGACTACTATTGGACGCAGTACGAGACTAAAATACAGGCCAAAAACAAACACGGAACCAGTCAGAATACCTCTATAGTCATTGTGTACTCAGCTATGGGCAGTAAGTACTAACACACTTACCTATTAAGCTCTGTAATATGACCAGGTTTCTCAAATTCAGTTTGTCTTATTCCTCAAGTAGAAACAATACGGCAATAATATGACCTATTTATTTGGATTTGTTTTGACCTACTTTATGAATTGATTTTATTAGGAATCTAAACTACAAACCAGACTGTATACGAGAATTTATTAATTATATACCTACCGTGGTCTTAAAGAGATTTAGAACCATGTAGATAAAGAAAGTCTTAAGAATTTTAAGTACCAGTATAGGAACTCCTCGGATCTTTCAGACAAATGGGAAAATCTCACTCCGAATGTACGAGTACTACTGTAGGTAACAACAACTGTGATACCCGTAGATAACCACCCTCTTTAATCCACCCTACATCATAACGAAATGCAAATTAAATCTACCGCACGGAATGCTAACAGGACCGGACATAATATTAAAGGATCGGCATCATCATAATAACAGAAATACTACATATAATGATGAATATACTATATACATGTATAATGTGAGAAGTACATAATATATTGTTGTGTTCACTGCATATAATGTTAGATCTACCGCATATTATGTTAAAAGCACTTCATATAATGATAAAAACACCTCATATAATGATAGATGTACATAATATAATGACATGTCTACGTCATATAATGAAAGAAGTACTGTATATAATGGAAGTTGCACACCATATACTGTAAAAACTACTTCGTATAATTAAAATAGTACATGTACCACATATAATGAAGAGAGCACTGCATATAATGTTTAATCCTCATATAAGACAGTCCCTGCGTTCCATCACCCTGTACACGACATATCTCTATTGCAGGAATTTCTTTCATCCGATGATCTTAAGAAAGTTCATGATATTTTTAAAGCGTGCAGGAAGGCCCGAAAAATTGTGATTTTGAAGACTTTACTCTTTGTATATAGCGGTAACTTATGGGCAGCGGGGAAAAAAGGAAAACAATTAATTAATTAATTAAAACGATTAAGAGAAAAACAGTTATTATAATTTCAATGGCTATAAAAACTTCATAAATGGCATTAAATACAACCAATAAATCGTTTTGCAATTTAAATACACATAAAAGAAAAATTAACGACCCGGCACGTAACGAAGAAAATGTAAATGCAAAATGAACAGTTACATGTACCTTTGCAAAACGAACGATGCATATGAAAAAGACGGTAATACATAACAAATCTTCTTCCTCCATATCTGGCCTCTTTCATCAAGTTGAAGATTTTGCCAGTTGGGTGTGCGCATGTTTGATTAAAAGAAACCACGCATGCGCACACCCAAATGATTCTATATACACAACACTGTTATTTGCCAAATAAATGAACTGGTCTCTTATTATGTATGTTAGACGTATTGAAATCAACATTCATAAGCCAGTAATGATACAATCAGATATGTCTTCAGCCCCTCTAGATCTAATCACATCTGGTTAAAGTCAATGAAATAATATGCTATAAATTAAGCCTATATCCCCACCCTCTGTAAATTCATTATTTTTTTCTTCAGTGCCGATTGCAGTCCCCACTGAGATCAGAGGAGAGGGCTACAACTCCACAGCTTTAGTGGTATCCTGGAACCCGGTGCCAGACACCAGGGAGGAAATCAAAGGCAGATTAGGAGGCTACCAGGTAAAATATTGAGTGTAGTAGCGTGTCATACAGGGGTCGGCTCCCACCCCTTGTATTTTCAGTTATTAAATTCATACAGTAATGTAACGAATGAAAAAAGAACACATGGACCTCTTGTAAGTCATGTTTGAAGGAAAATGCTTGTCCATGAAAAATGGTATTAAATATAAAGGAAAGCGCAATTTGAGCGGGTATGGAACCCGTTAAAATTCAAGGATCCGCCAATGAAGTATATTTAACCAGATAATTTTGTCAAAGTAATATCATGAATGGGGAGCTTACGGAGTAAATTAAGTATCTCTTCGTACACATCAGCTGATACTTTGGCAGGATATCGGATGAAATACGCCATAAGAATAATTATAACTATCGGGGAACCTCTTTGTTAAATTGGGATTTTGAAAAAAATATGAATCGGAGTTCCTATTCTGTATAAAGATAACATGCTTGCCATATTCAATAATGCAAATAATAATGAACTCTCTCTCTCTCACTAAATTGATTTTTTTTTCAGGTAAATTATTACCTACGAGTTCAAAGTGAAGATGACACGAAGGATTATAAGTACAAACAGTCTATAAGGTTTCACGGCCAGAGGGACTCGGGAGTGATTATAGGTTTAGAACCCGATACGTACTACATTGTGGAGGCCCAAGTATTCACCGATGCCGGGCTCGGTCCACTGGGAGAACCATATCCCGCGGAAACCATGAATCCAGGTACATCCTAAAGTTTCCAAATTAGACACGTATATAGGAAATTTAAATATAAAGAAAGAAACATGATGTCAGTGAACCCCCCCCTCCCGACCCACATCAACATATCCATTATAAAACAGAAATCCACTGATAGCTATTGTGACCATGTTTTTGTTGTAGCTCCGTCCCTCTATCCACAGGAAGTGGATGTGGTATCGAAGGACGCTTCCTCTGTTATCCTCTCATGGCGAGGGGTTAGCACATCACAGAGTGAAGACTCATTAAAGGGATACAGGGTATGTGTCAGATTTAAATCAGACTTTTCAAAAATAAGCTTTTCTTTAAGTTTTAATACGAATATAATTGTGGAAACTGTTTTACATGGCATGATTTTAAAACCATCAATATTGATTACTAAATATATGTGATTGAAATGGTTAATAAGGTAAAATTTTATTTGTCAGATAGGGGAGGGAAATGGAAGTGCTAGTTATTGAAAATATATGTATTTGTTGCAGGGTATCGAAGCCATTAGTTGCTAATGATTTATGGATAACACACTGACAATAAAAGAATTCTTTTCCAGAGCCTACTCAGACACTATTAAGCTTAATGACAGCATTACTTCTGTTTTCCCAGATCTTTATTTGGAAAGCTAATGAGCATTTCCGTACGGCGGAACCTATCGATGTCGCCAAACACCCGACTGAGTACACCCTCACGGGGATAGAGAAGGACTACGTGTACGCGGTCAGGGTCGCGGGGTACAGTTTTGGAGGAATCGGGAGGAAATCTCCAACATTATACTTCACTCTAGGTAAGACTGTTGTGTGATTATGGATAAGAATATTAAAAAAAATATTATCTAAACTTATTGAACATTATTTAAAAAACAAGAGGCCCATGGGCCACATCGCTCACCTGAGCACGTTGGCTAGGAGGACGCAGAAATCAGTTCAGTATTTAAAAGTTTACCGGAGTAATGGGGGTAGGGACAAACTTATATATACTCTACCTCCGGATGCTTCCATATCAATATTGCTAATCATGACTTTGCTGTTCTTGAGAAGAACAATTTTAACGATTTTTTCCCTGTGTATTCCTATCTAAAACTCTGATCCCTCATTGTGGCTCCATCCTACCAACCCTATATTTCAAAAAAGAACAAGGTTCACTTAGGGCCTTTTTTGGCCCTGTGAATTTCTGAAAAACTGAAACTGCTTAGTTTTAGTTGACAATGCATTAAATTTCATTTAGACATTTGGCGATTGCGAATCTACCAAAAATGACATAATTTTCTGGCTAGTCAATGCATTATGACGTCATGAAATGCGTCATTTTCTTCATATCCTGAACAATTCTACAAAAACAGCCAATTTTTAAAGCTATTTTTCGATAATTAATATATAAAATATGCAATTATTTACTGATAGAACCGTTTCTGAGGATTACAAAACATGTTTTATTTTTTAGATCAGAGAGTGCGCTCATATTATTTTTCTTCTCTGAAAGTACTTAAATATACATGTACCTGTTTTTTTAAAGTTCAAGAACATTGCAATTCAATAAAGCTTGTTTTCCAAGACCTGGACTTTAAGGAGAAAAATTTTAATAGGAAATGAAAGCACTAAGTCTCTACTTTATCTTGATGTTTAAAATGGAACATAAGGTGTTAGTCAATAAATTGGTATATCTACAGGGCCATTTTATTCATAAAGTGAACCTAGCTCTTTGAATCTACACTACCCGAGGATGCTTCTATAATAATATAACTAATCATGACTTTGCTGTTTTTGTGCAGAATATTTTTCAAGATGATTCCTATATATTCTTATGCAAAACTTTGATCCTCTGTTGCCCCCCCCCCCCCCTCCTTCAAACCTGGGATCATAATTTGAACAAACTTGATTCTACAATACCTAAGGTTGCTTCTGTATAAATATAACTAATAATGTTCTTGGAAGGAGGTGTTTTTAAGATATTCCCTACGTAATGTGTATGATGATCAGATTCTTACATACAATGGATATATTGGTTTTCATTTTACTCTGAGTTAATGATTGGAGTGATAATTAAGACAGCTCTGTCTGAGGGTAAATCACACAGTACTTAAATTTTCTCTTATCTAGAGATGGGGACTGGGTAAGGTTCTACTTGCACCATGTTTCTTCCCTAGGTTCCAATTGATTGATAAGAACCATCTGTCTCAAACTTCTTCAGATTTAACTACACCAGAACTTAACATCAGTACCCTAGGATACTTGCCACTGGTGCTTATAATTTTTATTTTGCTCTTACCATTCACTTCTTTATGGCTTATTCAACCTGCACCTTCTTCTTCTAGCTTCCAAGTGCCTGACTTTCCCAAATCTTTGCCTTATATACCCTTTAGCTAGTCGTTTCCAAGGGTTGTCAGGCCATTCCACTATTTGAAGTCTTTCATGCGTTTTACGCAAATGCCCCTTAACCATTACACCTATATATTCCTATGTAAAACTCTGAACCACGGTTGTGGCCCCACCCTACCCCAGAGGTTCATCATTTGAACAAACTTGATTCTACACTATCTGAGGATACTTCTGTGTTAATTAATATGACTAATAATGGCTTAGCTGTAATTGAGAAGAAGATTTTTAAAGATATTTCCTATATATTCCTATGGTAAACTTTGACACCCGTGTTGTGGCCCTGCCCTACCCCCAGGGGTCATAATTGGAACAAAATCTACACTACCCGAGGATGCTTTTAAGTTCTATTATAATATGAATAATCATGGTTTTGCTGTTCTTAAGAAGAAGATGTTTAAAGATATTTCCTATATATTCCTATCTAAAACTTCAACCCCCTCTTGTGGCCCTGCCCTACCTTCAGGGGTTTGATATAAAAAATTTGAATCTAGAGTATGTAATGAAGCTTTCACATAAGTTTCAGCTTTTCTTGTCCAGTGGTTCTTGAAAGAAAGATTTTTTAATGATGCCACCAGTTTTCACGAATTCTTAATTATCAGGGCGTGGCACTTCCTGTGAACAAACTTTAATCCCCTTCCCTCAAGAATGCTTTGTGGCATGTTTGGTTGAAATTGGGCCATGGTTCTTGAGAAGAAGTCGAAAATGTGAAAAGTTTACAGACGACAGACGGACGCCGGACACACTTTGATCAGAAGAGCTCACTTGAGCCTCCGGCTCAGGTGAGCTAAAAATTGTAATTGAATGTATTTCATAAAACGATAGATTGCATCACGTTTTTCTTTGCAGCTGGCTCACGTGTGCCTATTGATAGAACTATTACGCAACAACTTCTAGCAGACCGATCTAACAGAATCCAGAGTGGCGCCCTCTATACAGTCGCTTTATCACTCCTTATATGGACAGTAGTGCGATATATTCACTAGTAAGCAACGGGTTCATAATATCAGGATGGAATCTCGTATAAATTGTGATATAACAGTAGTTACTGTAATGTTTCTTTATCGTTACAATTCTATTATACTAGTGAAACTAGTTCAGTGAAATCCATGCAATAAATCTGTCTTAAAGAAAAGAAATTGTATTTTTTTGTATATAATATTTTTGTTTTTAGAAATTTTTAAGAATTAATTTGTAATTTGATATAACATACTGGGTATAAATGTTATTTGAAGTTTTGTATATGAGGAAAGGAACGTCAGAATGATGTATGTTTTTGAAGACTTATTTTTTTTATCTCATTGCCTTTATTCACTATAATTTTATGTATACATCATCATCCATTTCATCTTTCATGTTTTATTCAGCATAATATTATCATATCATTTTATTAAGATTTTCATTGTTAGAGATTTTGTGCTAAAACCGTGTCGGGATGAATGTTAAGCATATTATATAATAATTCATTTCTAAGGAGATGGGTGAACATGACGAGCGATAAGCCTATAGTGTGACAAACATGAAGATGAGAAATTAAATTTCAATTATATCAAAATTTTCCTTGATATTTCGTCTAACATTAAAATATACTTTATGTAAAATCTCTACAATTTGCAAAAATCTCTCAAAGATTGAAATTATTTGCCTGTGAAATATTAGACACACACTAAAGCGGGAAAAAAGAGTCATTTTGGCATACTATAGCACTATTTTTCGATGTGAGTGGGTCTTCGCTCCACCTTTTTGAAAGTTAATCCTCAAAGTTTGCATAAAAATATACATTTTTTGGTTACCAAAAATATGGAGCAATGGCCCACTATACCTTAAAAATATACTTTTATGACATAACATTCGCTTCTTTTCGAGAAATACTTGAAGTCCATTAAGTCAAGGGTCATATCACAAACATGATTTAAATGCCACTGTTCGTCAGGACTTGTTTAGTCTAGTGGTTAGCGTGCTAGTCTCGAAAGAAAATGATACTCAGGATTTTTATTGCTAGGGTTCCAACCCCACGAATACCACATAATTTTTTTTAATAAAAGAATACATTTTGCCGAGAAAATTTTCCTCAGAAAAGTTTTGTTTATCACAATTTCATAAATTTCAATAATGAGAACTTTACTCTAAATATTAAATTCACAAACTGAACATTATATTTATATTTCTGAAGCTATAGGCTTTCTGCACGCTATGTTCGCCCATCTCCTTTAACGTTTACTTTTCTTACATAACTACCAAAGGTATAAATGTTTTGTATACCAAGAAATAAATGTTAAGCATATTATTTCATTCATTTCCAATTTAACGTTTATTTTTCTTATATAACTACCAAAGGTATAAATGTTTTGTATACCAAGAAATAAATGAGATTTAATTTTCAGATAACTTTTATTTTGTATTGCATAAAAAATGTTCTAACGCAAAAGCTTTTATGACTACATTGTTATCAAGAAGTAAAAAAAAAATTAATTTAACCAGAAGCAGTGGTTAAAAAAGATACAAAAATTACTGATGCAATAGAGCCGAAAATCCATAGAAAGATAAACAGTATGATTTTTTAATAATTCTTTTCCACGTTTCTAACAACTATACAAAATCCTTGTTTCGCATATATTCTTCTTCAGTCAGGCCGGCCTAAAATAATCCAAGATTAGTCTGAATATCTTGACATAAATTTTATTAACAGTATGGAATCCAGATATGGCCACGTAGATCACTATCGCACCATCTAGCATCTATTGTTGGATCGATGACGCGATATCGATGGTGCGATAACGATGCAGCGATGACGATGATGCGATTGCGCGACAATGCGATGACGATTGTGTGACAGCATGATGAGCGATAGTGAACATCGTCATCGTACCATCGTCATCGCAACATCATGTCATCAATATTGCACCATCGCGCTATCCCTTCATCGTACCATCACATCATCGTCATCGCCCTATCGTACCATCGCTTCATTGTCATCGCACCATTGTTTCATCGTCATCGCACCATCGACCCAAACTTCGATGATGCGACAGTGAACTACATGGCCCTACCTGGATACAACAAGGAATACATATTTTTTTCAGAATTCATTTCAGAAGCAAGTTATTTACAGGAAATTCAATTCGGCACAAACACAGCAGTATCGGTTTTTTAAGATTTCAATTACATATTGGGGGGGGGGGGGTTCCGTCTGATACCCCGACTGGCAGAAAATCAATAGACGGGGTCAATTTACACCAAATATAAAAAGCAGCAGTTGATATACGTACTTTTTTGGGCAATATTCTTTAGATTTGTGAAAAATGAGCGCAGTCATCGGTGCGTCTAAGGTTTCAGTCATGGTGTCAACAGAATTTATTAATGATCAAAGAATAGTAGCATGCAAAGCTGTGAAACAAAACTCAAAGCACGGTACCAGTAACTTGCAAATATGGGACGAACATGTAGATACTTGTACCCAAAAATAAGTTTAAAGACGTGATGTAACCACCGGAGACCTCCCCAATATAATTGAAATGAAAAGAAAATCGAATTTGATCCTAAGTGTCATCACAGATGCGTTCGACGCCCGGATGTATATTGTAAAGATGTAATATTAATGTAGAATGATTTAGGTATACTGCTTCTTTATTCTCGTGATCTTCAGACTGAAACTAATTCTAATTAAGTTTGAGTTATTTACGGCTTGTTTTAATACACAAGGTAACTAAATATGAGTCATTAGATGCATGTTACATGTACATTGTACATTTTATGCATGTATCTGTACATTATACATGTACATCTAACGAAAGGGTTGGGGGATATTTGCATGTATGTCTCCCATTTGACGAAGGAAAACATTATAGTTTTTTGAATTCTTATTTTGAATTCTTTTTGTTTTCTACTCTTGCAATCGTGGCATACTATTATATATTTCCGTCTTCAGTATGCAAATTATTTTTCAATAGTATGTCGGCATGCAATATAGTTATGGCAACAACTAGAGTGTTCCAAGGAACGCACGTGTCGCCTGCTTTGTAGCTTCATTGAAGATGTACTATAGTAAATAAATCCAAGAGTGGTCAGCTTTTTTACTATTAGCACGATAGTTCATGCATTTGCCTGCAAAGACAAAATGGCATCCATGGATAGTATAAGCCTGCTAAAGAATCTGATCAAAGACAAGAGGCCCAAAGGCCTTAACAGTCACCTGAGTATAATACAACAATTTAGAGGATCCATTGAAGTATAAAATGAGGCTTAGTTACCCAAAATTAAGAGAAATAGGAAGATCAGGATCAACAAAATACTTAGTCCTGTATTCATAAGTTCTACCTGCCCCCATTTATCACTAATCACCAAGCACACTATTAACAAAACAAAAGTGCTTCTATACAATGTTTTTGAAATCGCGGACATATTCAACCACACACATTGGTCTCTCTTGGTCTTTGAAGAAAATTTAATATAATGAGTTATTTTTGCCTTATTTTTATTTATCTATCATTTACAAGATTACCTGGTCATTAAAACTATGAAAGTACTTTTTGTACTATACAATAAAAATTCTTGCATATAATTTTCTTATTCTATTAACCTTTCAAATACATTATTTACAATGATTAATTATCAAAGGTGAATGGCGAAGGGGATTACCTTCTCTCAGTAGAATACAAAATGTTAGAACTCTGAACACTTAATCAAATGGTCCATAATATCAAAAATCTGGTAAAAATACCCTTGCTTATTAAAACTATATAAAATAGAGTAATTATGCAACAATATTGGAAAATTTCACTACATTCCAAGAACCATTATGATCACACGAGCTTTCTTAACATGTACAGCTGTAAACCCCCCCCCCCGGGGGGGGGGGGTCGGAGACCTCGACGTCACATTAAGTTAGGTATGTCACGTCACGTTCTGGGAGCATCTCACCCTCACGTTCAAATTGACTTAGAAATTCTACGGAGCACTGCATTCTTTTCTCCATTTGTGCCTTCGGGAAAGCCTTGTACCCATCTCGCACCCACTTTCTTCATATTACGATCATTTATTAAAATACGCTCTGTCGTTCCATATGATTTCCGATTTCAGTAGCAATATCGAGCACAATGCATCGGCGGTCCATGTCCATAGACGCTCTCAATTTGTCTACGAGGAAAGAACGACCTTCCAAAAGGCTGCTAGATATTTTATCATCATCACAAGTTCTATTTTCCTTGAATGTCTTACGCCACTTGAAAACCGGCTGCTTACTGTACTTTTGTTCTGCCTGTATCATTAATATATATGCGTCTGAGTCAGAGTGTATCCGAGATTTTCACAAAACTTAACTGACCGTCGACATTGTCTAACGATGTCATCATGATCAACAAATCATTAATAAAAAACACTAAATATCCCGCAAAATCAATAAAAATTTCACACCAAGGGTTATAAAAGTTCAACTAATTGTAATTATGATATCATTTTCGTTTTATATGAAACTTAGCGCATTTTCCCCACAGTGAGTATCAAGAATTGAAATGATAATGAACAAAAAATGTCTCCCCCGCATTTTCAACCGTCCATTTCTATGGCAACTACCAAAGTATTACTATCATGAATTTTTAAAATATCTTTTTATTAAGAAAATTCAACAAGCCTCTATATTTTCACTTGAAATTTTCAATCACTTCCATTAAAAAATAAAGAAGTTATAAAAAAAATTCCACGAACTTTTGGATAAACCCTCGTATTTTTACACGTTATTTTAGGAATGACTCTAATTTTTGGCCAAATTATTCGAGTATAACCTGGTTTGGGTCAGTTTACGCTGTATAATCCGCGAAGCACGTTATTACCTCTTCTGTTTTTTTTTTTTTTATTTTAAACATTATTACACCTTTTCATTCTGCATATTTTTTTTCCGTAGTTTGATTCCAATAGTCTTTCGTAGGAGACAGAATAGTTGGTAGTCTTTAATAATAAGTATTTAAAATTGAAAAAAAGCAAAAAAAAAAAAAAAAAACAAAAAAACAAAAAAACAAAAAACAAAAAAAAAACAAAGACCTATAAAGCAAATTATAGACAAACTCTGACATATCGGAGCATTTCTTGACTTGTATATAAACGAAATAAAATTTGTGCTATGAAATTAATTTTGTGTTTTTTCTTAAAAAATAATTTCATTACAATATTGGTTTCAATGATTTCCATCTCTGCTCATCTTGTTTTATATTTCTTTGATTCGTATGATGTCTTCAGTGTTGAAAATTGACCGTGTAGTGATAATTTCCAGACTAAGCCTGCTATATGGTTTCATACTACACAAAGCAAATCAAACACTTATAACTGAAAGAGAAGCGATATTATCGCTCTAAGCATGTTAATCTTTTCCCTCTTTGAATTACAAGAATTGATCTCTCTCAGGAAGAAGACTTTTTACCTTTATAAAATGTAATTAAAATTGTTTCAATACTCTCTGTGTTGATAAAGAGAAAAATCCACCGTTTCTCTGATTAAAGATATCCCACTGCAGACAATGCTGTTGTCTCCAGAAAAGTTAATCAATGATTTGTCCGATTCCGAAAGAGCAAATACGTGCTAGTGTAGTGATCACTTTGGTGGTAGAGATGGATATGGATACATCAGTAGGATGAAGGATATGGAAAAATGTTAAACTACCGGAAACTGGGAAAAAGATATTTGGAAAAGATCCAGAAGTGATAAATAGACAATACATCTGAAATAGGAAAATGCAGAATGTATGTATAAAAGGGTATAATAGCGTATTATGGTGTAATATCGCAATCAGAACTGTAGATTCTCTTCACAGCTCTCTAGAATTTGCTAATTGAAGAGTAAATATGGCTTTACAATTGTGCCTTTGCGAGGAGGATGAATTGTGAAGGTTTGTGATAAGTCCCTGATTGGCTCATTATATTGAATATAGAAAAAATGAGAGCAGACTTTTGTCAAAGTGAATTGAGTATATGATGTGTGATTTAGATTCTGTATAATGAGATAAGAACATATAATGTACTGCTGATATACATGTACTACTTAAAGTGAATAACTTAAAAAAAACACTGATAAAAATGACAACTGCAAGCGCGCGAGTCTACCCGATGCTTGCAGACGATCGCAAACTGACCGCTAAGCTTACAGTAGCAGACGAACAAGCCATGGATGGGGAGGATGAATGGACAATTCTCCACGAGAGATTCCCGTGGAAACGCTACAAATCAGAGACTATAGAGCAGAAATACATAATATTCAGGAAGGAGAAAATGCTGTGTATCTCAAAACACTTACCTTTATCGTCTGTTATATTCGGAGGCATTATTTTTGCGCTCAGTATTTTCCATTTTGGAGAAGAGAAGGTACCGACTATATTATCAACCTGCATCTTTCTCCTGGTGAATATTGCCGTTCTTAGTCTGTACTGCGCTAAGGAAATTCAGACTAACATTTCGCACATCGTTTCACAATTTGTTAACATTTTGCCCTTTTTCCTGTTAGTATGTATACAGATTTTGGATCTACGGGATATTTCGGTTACAAGTACCCGGATGGAATGGGTGGTGTTCTTGGTCTTTTTAGCGTTTGTCACCCTCCCTGTAAGATACTGGGCTTGCTGTGGGTGGATTTTCGTGTTGTTTCTCGGACACATATCAGCTATTGTTTTCAAATTGCTAAGAAGGGGAATTTCCTCTACTGAACTTGTATATCAGGTGAGTTTTTAACATTCAATTAAACATGCATTCCACAATAAAGTTATTTCCACAGATTGAAATATACATGTATGTAATATTTTTAGGCAGTTTTAAACACCTTTTTGTCCTGTGTACATGTAGAATTGACGGGTTTTCTAATTTCTATATATGTCCATTGCCATCAACTTTGTTAAGTTAATCTTACTGTGCAGTCTTAATTTCACGATAACAATTTCTCACCGCGAAAATTATGCCGTTACAGTAGATTAAATAATGCTGTAGATCATAAATATTCGCGAATAACATTTAGTTTGTACTAAACTTTTAAAATATATGTAGATATGCGTCAGTGCTGAGATATCTTTAATGTTCACTGAAAGAGATTTATACTGTTCATTTTAATAATAAAGGAAACTAAGGTTGTTCTACAGATGGTTCAAAGTTTTAAGTCCTCGCCAATATTATAGACTCAGTTTTTGAAAAAAATGTAATCACAGGGAAAAAAGCTTATAAGCTTTTTATAATAAAATTATGTACATGGTTTTATCAAAAGCAGACTGTAATTACCATAGTGTAGACATTTCCCGTGTTCCGAGAAAACAACCATGTTTAACCAGACTGGAAAAGCATGATAAAAAAGTATTTGTATCTTCTCTTTGTTCTGTAAAGCAATGAATGAAGTCTTTATTAACTTTAAATTGATCACATATGAATACAATACAACATAAATGAGAATTTTAAACCAGAAAATATTGACCATGTACATATCAGCGTGTGAGTCTGCTACTGATGTGTAACTGCTTGTCAAGAATCTCTATATACGTATCATCTAGTCTACGACGATGTTGGATTTGCTATATTATATACATTTACTGGTGCTGTGTTAAACAAGCTTCCAATGACAGGTGTTGCCGGGTATCCCACTATTATATACCGGAGATGGCTCTCATTACCATTATCTACAGCCACGGCTAAAATCTCATAATGGCAAATCAATAGGATGCACTTCCATTTACATCTTAGTCTCCCGGGGTTTTATTTTTCTGTGCGACATCTGCTGTTTACTGTCCATTTCAATATAGGACTCCGTATCATGTTAGAACATACCTATATATTCCAGGTACACTGCATTTAAATTCAGTACCATATATAAAAAATTCAACATCAAATATGGTCACGAAGAATTTTGCAAAATACCTATAAATATAAATATCCTTTATGTAAACAATATTTTTTTGCTTTAAAAAATCGTGTTATTTATTTTTATTCAGAATAACCGAATTGTCTTTGTAAATTGAATAAGGGGGTGTTGATTATGATGCATCCAAAGCATCAACGGAAGTTTGAAAAATAATCCTTAATTTCATTTTTTAGATCAAGGAATAAAAAAAACAATTAATAAAAAAATTGTGTATTCCTAAAAGAAAATTGTCCTGAATAGATTCCATTTCTTTTAGGAAAGGGAGAAGCTGTTTGCTTCTGCTTTGGTTCAATTTATTTTTTTCTTACTTCTGTATGTGATTTAGAATTTTAAGAAGTCATGGCAGCTCCTAGTGAATCTGTGACAGACCTTCGTCGTCCAGAAATGCCACCATTTGATACCGTTACTAAGAAACTGTCGGTTGTTACATTGATCCGGAAATTTCCAACATTTCTCAACGCTCGAACGTATTAAAAAAACGAAAACGTAGCTGGAAATAAAGCCATGAAAAAATCAAATCACGCTCTGTATGTACAACTCAGAAGTCAGAAATCTACAATTAAATCAATAGGTTACTTTAGTATAAAAATGAGTGACATTTGGATCTGGAATAGTCAAGGTTCGTAAAGATTGTTTACATATTAACTGGATTAATTAATAATCATTAACATAGAGAAAACTCTCTATTTTATGGGTGATAAAACTTCCCAGTTCGGTAGCGTAAAACTATGAAAACCCAATGGGTTTAAAATTATAAATCGTTTTATTTTATATAGGCCCCCTCCTCCCCCCATGTAGCAATATTAAAAAGATTCAACTTAAAATTTAGAATGCATTTAATGATAGTGAAAAAATGAATAACCTACAATAAGTCAGGGGCAAATATAATTCAAAGTTTTGATCTCTATCAGATCTCGATATCATTAGGAGTAATTTACATCTTAGGGAGAACCAATGTACCAAGTTTGATGTCGGTCAAGCAAAGGGTTCTCTAGAAACTGAGCGGTCGGTGTCTCCCTATGTCCAATATGACCTTGATCTTTGAACTTATGATTTCAAAATCAATAGGGCTTATTTACTTTCTAGGGGGAACCAATGTACCAAGTTCAATGTCAGTTACGCAAAGGGTTCTCAAGAAACTGAGAGGTCAGTGTCTTCGTATACATGTATGTCCAATATGACCTTGATCTTTGGCCTTATTACTTCAAAATCAATAGGGGTTATTCACCCCATGGAGAATCGATGTACCAAGTCTGATGCCAGTCAGTTTTGAAGATATGAAGCGGATAATATCTTCCTCTATCTTGAGTAGTTTGACCTTGACCTTTAACTTTGTGACCTCAAAACCACTCCCTAGAGAAAACAATGTAACAGTTCTAAGTTTGATGTCATTCGAACAAAGGGTTCTCAAGATATTTAGCAGACAACACTTGGTCTACCGTCCGACAGGTGCAAAAATAATATGCTCATTTCTCTTAAGGGGACACCAAAAAAAAAATACCGAGAATGAGAGAACGACTTCTTAAGCGGTCCTACTAAACAGAGAACTCTAAAGAACTATAGAGAACTCTAGCTATATTTGGTTAATTCAAGTAAACAGTCTGCATAATTGATTTGATAATCACTTTATATGTCATTATGATATTCTATTAATAAAATTAACAAAAAGTTTATTTTAGGAGTGTATTCCTATGAAAATAGTTAAAAAAAACGTAACAATATAAGACGGTGAGATATTTTTTGTAATCCCGATCCCGATTGAATTTCCCTAACCTCGTTATCTGAATTAATGTTTTTTTTTCCCACATTATTTTACTTTTTTTTCATGTTATGTTAAAAAATTATGTAGATTGCTTATTCATTTAATCCGGTCCAAAAAATTAAATAAAATTAATTTTTATCACTTTTATTACAATAAGTATGATATAAAGTCTTCAGTGATGAGTAATTCGTCGATTCTAAGCATAAGATGTGTGAAACATATATTTTTAAAATATTATTTTGTTTTTGTATTATATATTTAATATTAGAAGACATAAATAAATCGCTGAAATACAATAAATAATTAAAAATCATTAGGGTTCTCTAAGGTTCTCTAGGGTTCTCTGTTTAGTAGTACCCATTTATACTGACAATATAATTTTAATGCAATGAAAAAAATTAAATTGCTAAAATATATTCACACATTTATTTTTATTTTAGATATCTTTGAATGCAACGATATTTTTCTGTACCTGTGCATTTGGAACCTACATGTATCATCAAATGGACATGTATCTTAGGAATGCTTTCTATGTGATGAAGGACTCTTTCTTCACTAACATTGCAATAGAACGCACCCAAACCCTACAGGTGCGTAATTGTCGATTACTCTCAGATCCTTAAGGTACAGTGTATGGCACGTATACAAGGCTATCAAATTCAAAAGGTATGTAAACTAACTGAACGTTCTCAGATCCTACAGGTATGTAAACTGAACGCTCTCAGATCCTTGAGTGTGTGCACTGAACACTCTCAGATCCTTTGGGTATATAAACTGAACACTCTCAGATCCTTGAGTTGTGTGCACTGAACACTCTCAGATCCTACAGGTATGTAAACTGAATGCTCTCAGATCCTTGAGTTGTGTGCACTGAACACTCTCAGATCCTTCAGGTATGTGCAATGAAGGAACAGTCATAGATCCTATAGGTATGTAAACTGAATGCATTCATATCCTTCAGGTATGTACACTGACTGAACGCTCTCAGAACCTTCGAATTCAGGTATGTGCACGGAAGGAACAGTCATAGATCCTACAGGTACATGAATGCATAATGACTGAAAATTCTCAGATCCTACATGTATTTACACAAGTTGAAAGCTATCAGATCCTACAGGTATGTACACAAATGGAAAGCTCTCAATTCCTACAGGTATGTACACAAGTTGAACTTAACGTACTTGTATATCAACTTTGTTAGTGAATTGTGATCTTACGTGGTACAAGATTAAGATACCACTTGCTATGGCTGACGATGTTAAATATGAATTTTTCGACATGAGAAAGTATTGCTGTTCAAATTTTGGTTTTTGCACTATGTGAAAAAATTCTGGGCTTCAAAATATTCGCTTTTGTACAGTTGTCACTTGGGATTTATGACCAATTGTTGTATCAATCAAAATCAATAATGATAGGCATATATTTTTTATATATATTTCAGAAAAATCTGCTTTCCTCCACTTTGCCAAAAGCTGTTGTAGCAAAGATATCGCGAGATTTCTCGGTATACAGATCGAATTCCTTCCGCGAGCTATGTCACATGTGCCATGATGACGTCAGGTAAAGTACCGCGTTATATTTTGTTTCATACATAGTTGGTTTAGTTAGAAGATATTTAATGTTTTTAATTAAATTTTATCGGGCAAAAGTTCTAAAAACTTAATTATTGTGAGTTATATCAAACAACTTTACACATATGGGAAACAGTTTAAAATGAATAAACACAGAAAAACATTATAATCAGAGGGTCAAATACATGTATATAACATACAATTTGGAGAGAATTCGCAAAAAAATAATTATTGTATCAACCAAAATGACCTGACTTGTTAATAAATTATTATTAAGGGATACATTAGATTTGATATTGGTTTGCCCTCATATCAACTGTGACGACATTTAATTTTCCTTGTCTTCTCAACATAAGATTAGTACATTTGCAACATTAATTGTATTGTATTTCAAAGCGTATATGCATGTGCTTTTATTTACTCTCTATGGAAAGAGTATTTTTCATCATTATAATCTGTAGACATTCCGGATATATTTTTTGAATAATTGTAAAAGAAACCAAGATTATTTTAGGTACTGCTTGTTGTACTGTTCTTTTATGCCATTTTTTCAGCGTGGCACTGTGGAATCTTTGTACATTAATGGATTTAAAACAAAAGTTTTGTAGGTTTCACATACGTCTTTTTTCCTTGAGGTGCAACGTTAAAGCTCACACAGTTTCAACATCTCAAGTTAATTATTAAGTTATTTGATGTAACCAATTCCCACTTTGGGAGAGGACTCGTTTGAACTACAACCGTTGGCATATTAGAAAGATGGAGAGTGGGGAAACTCGTTTGGCCCACATTAACTCTAATTAGAGAGTTCTCTGGAAATTTCTTAAGTTACATATTTCCCATGAACATACATCAAAATGACATTGTTACATTAGTAATACATTTGTTAATTAATAATAGCAAACATCATAAAACATACTTCTCACTGTTAAAGGACGAAAATAACACGGGGCGAAAATAACCCTGCATACAGTATTTACTTTACGTACACATGTATCAAACTGGCATTAATTTGAATTTTTGGATCCCCAATTTCAATATATTCTTCCACAATTCGAAATTTGCAAATTCGATTTGCTATACCTTAAATATTACTTAAATGAGAATAATGCTGAACACGTTTGTGGAATCTTACCCCACTCCAAATTGATATTATAATGAATCCTCCAGGGTACTCGTTTTACTCGCACTTCGTCACACTATCTTCTTCCTCTAACTCTGAATGCATTAGCTAATTCATCTTCGGGATATGAAGATGGTGAAAATATAAAGACAGAGTTGGTGGAGTCCTGTAGATCTGCAATAAGGTTTCCGAGTGTTCATTTTCATCATGGGGACCAAACGGGGTGTTCTAAAACTACGTTTTTCTGCGAAACCTGGTTTCCCAAAAGCTCTTTTGCATTTACTATTGCCATATCTTTATTTTTGATAGTGTCCTTTAGAGGGGGGAATAAGATTTTGGAATTTTCATTTTATCCTAGGAGCCAAAAATCGAAGTTTTTACTACAAAAAACTAAGTTCTCAGATGTCCTCTTAAATTTAACACCGTAGTTAAATATCTTTTGGAATACTACATGTATATGGTTGGTAGTGTCCTGTAGGTATGAAATAAGGTTTTTTGGGTTTTATTTTCATCCAAGAGGCCAACTGGGGCAGGCATGACTTTCTTCCATTAAAACCTTGTTCCCAGAAGTCCTATCATATTTTAAACAGTAGCCAAATGGATCTTACTATATAAGAAAGAAGGTTTTGGAATGTTTTGTTTCTGTTTGTTTGTTTGTTTTTTGATTTGTTTTGTTTTGTTTGTTTGTTGTTGTTTTTTTTTTTTTTGTATATCGGGAGGCCAATTCAGGGTCCGAAAAATGATGTCTTTCTACACAAAAACTACTATCCCAGAACTCTTACATTTTTCTATGGTATGAAGGAGAACAATTAGTCTAAGAGGCAAACGCTTACGTGTGGGTATTACTGTCTAAAGAAAGTATTTAGTTTGATCATTTATTTAAGTTGTGAAGTTTGTAAACTCTAAAGTGAGCTAAAAGTATTTAAAAATGTATACAAATGATAGAGAATTGACATTTAAAAAAAGCTTTTGTATGCGTTATATAAATAATCATCAGATTTTTTTTTTTTTAATTTTAATGTTGTCACCTCTTCGGATTATATGTAACAAGCACTTTATGATTAATTTAAAAGAAAAGAAACCTCACCTTTCACTTTTTGGAACTCAGTTTTTCGCTGCAATTAAATTCAATAGCAATTATGTACTGTTTATATATAGTGTCTAGGTATTGAAATCTACTCAGGGGTTGCGCAATAGGCAATCCTCGGCTGATTCCGCTACGCTCCATACAAACCTCGGATGTGATTGGTGTAGGAATCTGCATCAATTTGATGCTTTTCTCCACCGGAACTGTCTTTTAACTCATTGCATATTTCGCATTGCTTGAAGTTCACCCAAAACATTCTTCTATCTTATCTAATGCTTCCTTGTATATTTGTTTTGATTGCAACCTTCTTTTATATAGCCGTATGTGAAAGTAGAAACTTAAGGAGTTATCTGGATTTCAAAGGAATAATTTAAGAAATTTCGAATTCGATCATATGATTGTATGACAGATGGACTGTATTAACAACAATATACTAGTATCCAGACTTTCTTTTTGAAGAGGTATAGAAATAGGTATAAAATATCTATTTCTTAGTTACCTCTTAGCGTGAAATTTTTATATTTTTTTTCTATACAATTTAAAAACAAAGTCCACCATGGGTTTAAAGGGCTTCTTTTTACCCAGTGATGGATATCCTACTATTTAGTTTTGAGAACACATAAAATTATCACAGCATATAACGTACAGAGACAGTGACGTCAGAATTTTTAAATCTCTCTACAATTCACGTTCAAGAAGGAAAATTCAACCTCTGACGATGGTGGAATAGAGAGGCTGTCATAAGTGCAGTTTCTTGTGCTTGTAAAATGCTCTCAAATGAATTCGAAAAAATGGGATATATTGCTAAAGTGTACTTAGTTTATTATTCCCTCTGTAGATGTTTCTTTCCACAACTACAGTAGAAAGGTTAGGTTTATTCTTGGATTGATTCTTTTAAAAGATATATATAAATAGTGTAATTTGAATTCGAATTTGTCCTGATCAGAATATTAATGTCCCTTATCCGAAACTTTTGTATAGGCCTGGAGGGGTTTGCAGTTTGTTTTCACATCATCACTTCTTTGATCAAGAAATATATTTGGGTTTTTTTTCTTATGGATCGGAAATTAAATTATTATTTCGTTCCGATAAAAAGCCTTTTTAAATGACATTTCTAATGTTAAGCACAGTTTCTAGAGGATTTCAATGTATGTTTTAAAGTTGTAATAAATGTAGGTTATGAAGTCCTCCACCTTTAATTTTATAATAGAGATATGGTTCTATGTGTTCCTTCTCACTATTTATCATATAAATGTATTTAATTTAATATGATTTAGAACATTTTCAGATTTTGCTTTAGTCTCACGGATATTCATCACTTCCTCTCACAAAATAGGTTATCCTATTTTTGTATTCATATGAAACGCAATCTATTTCTTAAAAACTTCTCCATGAAAAGAAGTTTATTGCGTGGCCTTCAATTCGACATTTAGATAAATCGCCGAACTTTTATCAATTGAAAATATTCATTTTTATTCCTATATTTTGCTACATAAATATGGAAAGTTGACGATAGAAAACTTGAAGTCATCACGTTTATCAGAAAGTTTTGTTGTTAGTTGGCCATTAATGTCTTTCGCCAGTAAAATATCCAGATATGAAGCAGATGTGTCAGACTCTGTGGTGTCTTTTATTTCGACTTCAAAGGGATATATCGAATCAACGTCTATTATCACTTGCATGTGGAGTTTGTCTCCCAGATGATTCGATACACAAGAGCTGTTCTACGTACGAGCAATTTCGAAAACGAGGTAAGCTATTGACAAATAAGTTGATAATACAAGGATATCAATAGCCTCGTTTAAAATCAACATTTTCTAAATTCTATGGTCAATATAATGACCTAGATAGCAAATACAATCTATCGTTAAAGAACTTGTCCCATATATTTTTATAAATAAAACCGTAATTTTATGAAAAATATTATCTACAACATTGTTTATTAAAATATTGAATAAAGTAAGGGTTGTTGTAAGCATATTTTCAGAGAAATTTAGAGTTGAAATTTAAATAACGGCGATATGCATATTTTAATCGGATTTCGGCGCCATACTGCTGTGACGTCATAGGCAACAATTCAGTGATGGAGAAATGAGAATCTGTATACTTTAAACGAAGTTATCAAGCAAAAAATGCTTGATAATAAGGGAAAGTCTGAAAAAAAATTCTTACATGCTTTTCAATTACTATGAAAGTATGAACTCATTCTAGTTTAAGTATAAACATTTATTTAAAAATGAATTTATAAATACCATATAAACGGATTACGGTGTGGTGACATGGTGTGATATGTTAATAAGAAAATAAAATAGAAATTTTAAATCACGTACAAACTTGCTGATTTATAGCGGAGCTTGTCAATTTTAATAACAGAATATGATTAGAGAAGAAAGGGTAATTAGTAAATATCCCGTCATCTTTTGTCATCATTGCAGCTGCTTTTTCAATAAAAATGGAACTCGTAAATTTACTTACCTTGTCATTGGTAAATATTATTTTGTTAAAAAACATTCTGATTGTACACACAAGTACTCTGAAGTTGATATTAAAAAAGATGCTTGAATTTCTGATGACAATATCTATGTGGTTTTTGGAGACCAAATCTTCCAACAATCTGTTGGAATTCCCATGGGTACCAATTGTGCCCCGTTGTTAGCAGACCTATTTTTGTATTCATATAAAGCAGAATTTATTCAGAATCTTATACGTCAGAAAAAGAAATCTCTTGGCCTTCAACTCGACATTTAGATATATCGACGACGTATTATCAATTACCAATAGTTATGTCCATTCATATGTCGACACTATATATCCCAGTGAGCTTGAAATAAAAGATACCACAGAGTCTGACACATCTGTTTCATATCTGAATATTTTACTAGAAAAAGACGTTGATGGTAATCTAACAACCAAGCTTTATGATAAACGTGATGACTTTAACGTTTCAATCGTCAACTTCCCTAACTTATGCAGCAATATACCCTTATCACCTGCATATGGGATGTGCGTGTCTCAGTTGATTCAATACGCAAGAGCATGCTCTATACGTATAAACAATATCTAAAAGAGGTAAGTTATTGACAAACAAGTTGGTGAAACACTTGAAGAATATCAACAGTCTCGTTTAATGTCATCATTTTCTATCATAAGTTCTATCATAAGTCGATACAATGACCTTGTCTGCAAATACAATTTATTATTAAGTCATATGGTGATTGAAGTTTTTCATACTAATTGTTAGGTCATTATTTACACACTGAATTGTCCACGAATTTTTCCATTAATTACCGTTCATGACAAGGAGCACACGGCGGGTGTGACTGTCAGCAGGGGATGCTCACTCCTCCATGGCATCTGGAGGTCCGTGTTTACTCTGCTCCCGATTTGTAATGTTTTAATGGACTTTGAGCTTGAATGGTGTTCGTTATCTCCATATTTCATTATCTTGTGCAGGAGAGTTCCTTCTTCTTCGGCTCGTTTCCTTCGCTATCCTCACTGTTAACAGGTTATTTTACCATGTTTACAGATTTTTCGGATTTTTTCTTGCTGGCAGTTCAAACCTGAAAGGTTTGATAGCCAACTTCATACAGACAAAATCGGTGATTTGGTCGTCCATAACGCAGAAAACCCAGTTTGTATCGCGTGCATTTTAGTAAGATTAACGTAGACAGCTGATCAGCCATTGTTGCCTATGAAGTATCATGGTCACATGATCGCTATCTAATTAACTTTGATTTTTAAGTGAGTGGTTTTTATTTTAATCAATAATGTTTAATTACCGCTGTATTTACGCAATAAAACACGAAATTTATGAACTGTGATCACAAGGAGCATAATACGCTTTTAATTTCAAGTAGCTGAGACTTTAAGTCGAAAGTTGGCTGATGTTTTTCATACAAAAATTGTTAGGCCATTATTTTCAAACTGAATAGTCCACGGATTTTCCGTTTGCTGGATCATGACAAGGAGCGCACTGTGAGTGTGACACAATGTGACCGGTCGACAGGGGATGCTTACTCGTCCATGGCAACTGGTCCCAACTCTGATATTTTTAGAGGTTCGTGTTACACTGCTCCCAGTTTGTATTGTTCCAATAGACTCTTGAGCTTGATTACTGTTCGTAATCTTCTCTGATTTCCTCTCCCAACCCACCTTTTATCGTCTATATGCACCGATGTAAGTGTGAAAAAATTCAACTATTTCTCTGATTTACATACTCCCTTTAGGAGCTCAGTACTATTGTAAGAATTGTTATCTCTGTTCTGTATAAAGATCTGTGTTTTCTCCTTGTGTTTCCAAAGGCCTTTATGCTTGTCCAATGCGTATGTATTAAGATAACTTGTTTTCACTTTCAAACAAAATGGCTATTGATTTTTACACTATCTACGTACTTTTTACACTGGAACTGAGGATTTTGAGATTAAGAAGAGTATACCTTCTGTAAGAAAGATATATGAATAGGGATTTCAATGAAAAAGGAGAATTTTTACATGGACGTAATTTTTCTATCACAAAATCAAAAAAAATTCTTACACAGTTTGTTTAATCACTCATGAGAATGTGTTTTTCTTTTATTTTTATCATGTTTTGCTTACATTTAAGTAAAAAATTTAAAAAAAAATTCTAATATACATGTTTTATGGTTCCTAATCGTTTTAGAAGAATGTACCTTGAAATGAGCCCGAGGCTACCGTCACTTTAGAACAAAATAGTGTTAAAATCGTATCCCTTGGCTTCGTTAACGTTCACAAGAAGACTGGGAGGGGGCTACAATGCAGTTTAATTTGTAATAAGAAAGACCAATGTTAATGAAATGAATTTTGATGATGTCTTTTTAGCTCTACTGGTCATAGAGCTTGTAAACAATCTGTCTATTTCTGCGCATTCGTCTCTCTCAAAATATTAATCCTCCTACAGGTTTTGCTTGATCCCAATAAAACTTAGAACACAAGTAGCGCAAATTAAGATACATATTTTTTGATAAGTTTTTGATTTTGGTAAACGATGTTGCGATTGTTACTTAAAATAGGATAAGTTGTTAAATTCTTACAAAATGCTATATTAAGGACATTTAAGGTAGTACTCAATAGATAGGCAAAATTTTCCCTCAAATTCAATTTTGTTGAAACTTTGATATTACGTTCTAGGATACAAATTCTTTCTTTATTTGTATTTTGAAAGAAATTCAACCACACATTTTTTGCCCATATAGTTTGAAATAAATTCTATCAGACCCATATAAGAAGATTGTGAAGTCAAACATTCGACCCGAGAACGTGTATTATATAAAAAATTACCAAACGATCTATTACAAACTTGTGTGATGCTGTTTATTAAGACAGCCTTTTTGTTACAAAAATTCAGCAAAATATATTAATACCAGTAAATTTGAGTACAATGAAATCTAAAATAGAACATACATAGCCCGGGAGTTGAAAATTCTCGTCTAAATATGTTACACTCTAAGCCCTCTTGAGAGAAAATGTATTCTTCAATTTTTACAAAAAATTAACAGAATAATTGAAATAGAACCCGGATTAAAATGTGTCAAAATAAGGAAAATTGAACCTACAGTTTCATATATTTTAGCTATTCAAAGTAAACCAATGCCCCCCCCCCCCCAAAAAAAAAAAAAAAAATTAAAAGAATCAGTAGAAGACGTGACTATATTTGACCTCTTAATATGGCCTTGAACTTTATGGAGACTCCTAATAAATATGTACAAATATCAGGTCTGTACTAGGAATGATCAAAAGTTACTTTGCATTTAAAAACAGACGGTAATAGTTGATGGCATAAACACGATCCAAAATGTAGGCTCCGGAACGACAAATATATAGGATGTCTCTAATTTTGTTTTTATTACAAAACATGGCGAAAACATGTGACAGTTTATTTTTTTCCTAGAAGTTCCTTGATTATTGACATTCTGGTGACATTAGTCTTATTTCTGGTGTACTTTATGAAAAATGGGCTAAAAAAGATGTCATGGGTGTTTTGTACTACCTTAAAACACATATATTTATTCTCACTTTAACAGTTAATTTTAATGAAGTTTATTGAATAGGATGATTTAAAAGGTAATGAAAACGAACAGTGATCAATCTCATAAATCTAGTGAACAAAACGAATCGTGAACAGGGAAAAACACGGACCTCTGGAAACACCAGAGATGGGATCAGGTGCCCAGGAAGAGAAAGCATCCCTTATCGACCGGGCAAACCCGCCGTGAGCCCTGCGTATTGATCAGGTAGACGGAGTATACTCCGTAGTCAAATTTAGTGTAAAAGCAATGACCTTACAAATGGTTTAAAACATACGACCCTAAGATTGGTTGTGTTTACAAACAAGGTCATTATAACCACCGTAGAATTATATGTTTGCAAAAAGCTTACTTTAAACGAATTTGTTTAAACCAGGTATTTGTCAGTGGCTTTCCTTGGTTTAAGGTCAGACGATACGTTCCTCAAATATCTGTTTTGATATCTTCATATTGTATGGAAAATATTAGAAATTTTAAATACTTTCTGATTTCTAAACTGGTTTCTAATTGTCTTTAAAAAATTGAAACACTAAAAAATGTGATATTGGCAAATTAAGTTTTTTCCCAAAAGGATTTTATAGGAAACAACATCCTCTGGTATCTTACACAAATGCCTGGTAAGGTACCTCAATTTTTTTGCGAGAAAGCATATTAAAGTAGCAATACTTCAATGACAAAATCTTAGAAAAAATATATATTATTGAGGAACGTATCGTCTGTCCTTAAATATTAATCGTATTCAAAGCATGCTCTTGCGTATCGAGTCAGTTGGGAGACATAAGCACCACATGCAGGTGATGCTGCAGTATTGCTACATGGAGAATCTGAAGTCATCCCGTTGGTCATACAGTTTAATTATTAATTGGCCATTATCGTATATAGTCAGTAAAACATCCAAATTAATCTCAGCGAGATCCGTAGAGACTAAACATTTTGGTCTGGTGTCTCTACGTAGAGACACCAGACCAAAATTTTTAGTCTCTACGGATCTCGCTGAGATTACATCCAAATATGAAACAGATGTGGCAGATATGTTAAATTCTCTTCGATACTGCTTGCATTTAATAATTTTAATGAATGATGTTACCGTAGTTGTTGTTAATTAAAAATTTCTTAGAATTACAAAATAGTTTGTGCCATACAATATTTGTCTGATTTGAATGAAACATATGTGAGTTATTTTTTTCTTTGTTTTTAAGTTTGATTTCAAAGAACAGTGACTCGCCATACATACATCATATCAGATATTTTTTAAAAAAAATGGAATTATTATAAAAAGCCATGCTCTATCCAACTACTTAACCAGTGGAGCTGCATTTTCATAAGAGATTTCTTGGTTACTTTGGGATAACTTAATCTTTCAGAATGATCAGCAATGATACACTATTTTCTTAATAAAGGTCTTACTCTTTATGTAATAAATTTCTAAAAAGAGATTAATGTTTCTGATTTCAGTATGCTGTTTTGTAATGTTGTGGGTATAAGTGATCTAGCCGATAGATCTCCCCAGTCCTGCCTAGCGCTAATCAACGACCTGATGGTACAGTGCACTGTCCTTGCAAAGGTAGGGCTTGAGAAGGGAAAAATGAATATGAAAAAAAATTCGGTCATCAGGAGAAAAGGTAAATTAATAAACCTTACAGGATATACGAGACCTTTTCCAGGTCCAATTCGAAACTGTGATCGTGATTCATGGGTCGTTGCTATGACATGTCGCGAGATTTCTTTAAATACGCACAAAATTAACGATTTCAACCAATAGCTTTGTATAAATTCAGTATTATTAACATTATCGCGCACATAAGCCCACGCTTATGTTTTTACTTCTCATTTATATAATTAAGAACGATCATAAAATCCACGTTAAGAGTTAATTTCAAGAAATATTGTCGCCATGGTACCTACAATAATCTTTTTTTATTTTTTATTATGCTACAGATTTGGCAGTATTTTATATCCAACAAGAATAATTCATAATGCTCTATAGTGGCTAATACTTATCCAGCAAGAATAAGTCATAGTCCTCTATATAGTGGAGTAAATGCCTAATAGCTATTCAACTAAACTAACTCATAGTACCTTATAATGACATATTATATAAGTGTCTTATATTTATCCAACTAGACTAACTCTTAGTACTCTATAATGGAAGACGTGATATTTATCCAACTACAATAAAATACTGTTTAAATTGAAGGTCTTCCTGCTTACACTGTGTAAGACAGGCCTTCTTGGTTTTTTCCTTTAAACACCTATAACATCAAAGGTATAGTATAGGACAGCCGTCAGGGATGGGACCCTGACTAAGCTCCCTCTACAAAGGTATAGTATAGGACAGCCGTCAGGGATGGGACCCTGACTAAGCTCCCTCTATAAAGTAACTAGATATTGTAGTTAACCCAACAGCACCACGCAGGATGCTTTTTATCTGAATTCAATACAATTACACACATATTCATAAACGTACATTGAACAGGTATAATCACAATGACTTAATGATTTACTTAAGAGTTGCATTACAGAGATGATGCTGTTTTGAAGATGTTAACCCCGGATTTTACTGGTAATGGTTATATCTCGAGGTAAAATTGACAAAGCATTGGCAAAGATAAACTTTCCTAGTTGTATACTTAATTGTGATTTGATTTGTCTTGATTTATACAAGAGAGAATAATCTTAATGATTCAAAAATGTTACTCCTAAGGATGTATTAAACAGGCTCTGGTTTCTGTAATACTTTTTTAACCAATAGTATAATAATAACAACACAAGGTATCTAACTCCGAATTACATGGAGTAACCCCCAGAATCGCAGTCACTTACGCTTTCAGGAAAAACGCACTGGCAAAATCATTATTATTACCATTATCTTCTACAATAATTTATATGGCATACCACTTCGTGGTGTGAGACAAATTTTCTAGTCGGCGAAAAGAGTTTTGACACTGTTTATGGAGATAAAAGAAAATAAAGACAGACATCATAGAAGAAAATATTAATAAACAGTTTGCTAGTGCATTTTCTCTGAAAGTTGAATGCGATTCTGGAGAGGGATGTATACTCCATGCAGCCATGCAATTCGGAGTTAAATACCTTGTGTAAATATTATACTACGGGTTAAAAATATTATTACAGAAACAATTGCCTGTGAATTATTCTCATAGAATAAATCTTGGCATTTAAAAAAAAATAAGAAATACACTATTTTTTATTAAGGTTAATTTCTAAGAATAAGGTTCCATAAGGTTTTTAACATAAAAAATCGTTATTTTCTAATACAAGTGTTATCAACATAGAGACACATACATCTATACACTGTAATCTCTGATTTCTGTAAATGACATGGACATAGTCAAAACTAAAAAAAAAAAACCCGTTCTTTCTGATCAGAATTAATGTTGTTAAATGTAGAATCATCAACTTGAGATACGATTTTTCACAAGATTATTATTTTGATACTGAAGTGTCTGTCATCATGAAAGAGAAAAGAGATTCAATTTTAGTATATGAAACCAATACAATCTCACAGGCACTTCTACCTTCATAATGTAGAATTTAAAATTATAAAATCCTGTCGTGTTTCGATGGCAGAAAACGGTAAGCTGTTTTCATTTTTACAGAAGCATTTTATGGAGGAAGTCGGCTGGTCCCTAAATGAGTATAGTGTCGTCTGCGGTGCCATGGAGACACGAGCGGACCACCCTATACTGACTGTCTATATGGCTATGGCTATGTTAGATTATTTCAGGTATGTTAAATAAACAACCAATAGCAACACTTCATGCTAAACAAACATTCTGTTTTCACAAAAAGAATTTGGTCAGAAAGCATGTCTAGACCAAAATCTCTATCTGTTGTCGTACATTAGACGTTGATATTGGGCAAGTGGTTATACTATTTTTAGTACATTTATCATTGACCTTGACTACAACCTTCTTAATCTTTTGTTCCAGATTATTTTTCATCTTTTAAATATATTAACTTATAATGATTAGTTGTCACCATAAACGAATGTCATCGTATACGTGCCACCATGACCTCAATATATCTTTTGCTTCTAAATTCATCTCAAGAGAGAATTTGAGTTTGAAACTGTTTTAAACATTTCTTGTTGGGGTAATTTTCTTTGAGTTACTAGTATTACAATGAATGTTGTTTGTATAAAGATGAATCGACAATTTTTGTAGGGAACTGAAGCAGAAAGTAAAAATTCCTAATGTACATCTAAAGATTGTCGTCCATACTGGGGATTTAAGTACAGCTGTCTTTGGGATCCGTAATTGGAAATATGACCTTCTTGGAAATGATGTCATCAAAGCCAAAGCCTTATTAAAGCAGACTCACAACGGGTAAAGAATAAAATCACTGGTTTGCTCCAAATTGATATTATGTTTTACAATTTCTATAGAATTTACGGAGAAACCTTGTAGTTTTCATATCAGATTCTTCCTTGTTAAGCATAATAACACCAGAACCTTTAATTTGATGTTCCTAAGGTCAAAGCTTATTATTCAAGTCAAAATGACAGGTTATTTTTTAAATTCTGTTGGTAGGAGAACACAAAAATATGCAAGAGTCGGTGATGTGGTTTTTGATATTGATTCTTTTACATGTATTTTTAAATGTCCATTTTGAAATTTTTGTAAGAAATGAAAGAACTGAGGATTTCGAGCTCTGAGAAATCCAACTAAAAAAAACTTTCTTCTATAACATATTTTTGATAGTTTGATGTATTTCTTAGTTTCTTTAAGACTGGAATTATATATTTTGATTGTAAAATAGGCAAAGGGAAAAAAAACTTTAAAAAAACAACAACAAAATATAAAACTTTCCCTGTTTTACTTTTCTGTTCATTGAAAATATAATTTACATCTGCAAGAATGTTGAACAGTTCAACGTAAATCATAAATCTTTATTTAAATTCTTTTTCTAAATATAATTGACATTGATTGTACAGACAGGTTCTTATCTCCAGCGCTACCAGATCAACTCTACATGACGAATTCATCATAGAGACCATCTCAGAATCAGCATTCTCTGTCAAATACGTCGTCAAACGGGTAATTATCCTGTGATTAAACACTCGGATTGGAAATTAGCTAATGAGAATACATAGCTTAAAGGAAATGTTTATTTCAGTTCAGTTCCTCTGATTATGAAATGGGAATCGCGGCTCGCAGAATTCACAGAAAGGTAAATGTTGCCAATTGACATCGGGAAGTGAATTAAAAAATTACAGACTGAGACGGAAAAAAAACATGGATCTTAATCATGATCTTTTTTCATCACTGATAATTTATGTGAAAGTTAATTTAAAAACCAGACTGGTTTAGTTTTGAACAAAAATATGACACTAACCATTTAGAAAGATTAGAATATTTTTTTAAAAAAGAAGGTTACTAAAAATACAGTTTAAGAAATAAGTTATTTTCTTTAGCAACTAGAAGAGGACGTCCAAAAGCTCAGAGATAGGAGCATAAAAATTCGTGAGTTAAAAAGGTTGGTTATTACTAAGTATATGAAATTGAATGACAGAATGTAACTGTAAATTTGCTATAACAAAAATATGGAAACATAAACTAAAGTATCAACAGGGGGTATAAAGTAACCTCATTTTTCAGTGAGATGTATGCAGGCTTTCAAGAATGTATAGAAAACACGATATAATTCGTATTCTTTGTTGTGTTTTGGACAGAAATGTTTGGAAATCGTTGCATGAAAAGTTTTATAACATGCTGGAAACTATCCTTTGATTGCCATATTCTTAAATTGTGGTTCCTTAAATTCCTCATTGACAATATCCTTGTAGTTTTTGGAGAATAGATATTCCAACAATCTGTTGGAATTCCCATGGTGACAAGTGTAAGTCCATTTAAACAATACAAATTATGGGCAAAGCCAATACCGACCTCTGAAAACATAGGTTGATCAGGGGCCATGGACAAGTAAGCATCTCCCATAGTGTGCCCTTTTTCATGTTAGGTAAACGTGTACACACAATGTAAACATTGTATTGAGCTTTGTCATGAAATGCGGAGAGACCGAGACCTTATTTATAAATATGAAAACTCGGATCGACCTGTATTTACTGAACAAAAATACATCAACTCCTCTTTTTAACACATAGGGAATAGACATCAAAACAAAGTAAGCTGTTATAATATCATTGTTATTATCAGCACAATTGGTATGACGTAACAACAAATAACATAAAAAAAATGCTTTGTGATTGGATGTATTCCTTCAATATACAGAAAACACAATGATATTTTTTAAAAACAGCTGACTTTGTTTTGATGTCTATTCTCTGTGTTAAAAAAGAGAGAAAACTTTGTTTCAATTATTTTCAAATTTTGTTTTTTCAATCTCTTTAATATAGCCTTTTCCTACGGTCAATCCATAAATATATCCGCAGAAAAGCAATTCGTGCTCGGTCGATGTGTTTTTGTGAAGTCAATATATCTATGAATTGACCTCATGAAAAGTCTGTATATGTAATATACCATTATCATCTACATATATGATTTATATCTCCCGGTTGATACAATGAGTAAGGGCATGTTCTACGTATGAACAATTTCAAAAACGAGACAGCCTACTGACAAAAAAGTTGATGACACAAAAGTATCAGTCTCCTTTAAAGTCAATTTTTTTCCGAATTCTTTGTCGATATAATGACCTTGTCAGCAAAAACAATCTATCGTGGGGTCGAATATTGACAAGTCTTTTTTTTAACCAATTGTTACGTCATTATTTTCATACTGAATTGTCAGAGGATTTGTCCGTATATCAGGTCATGACAAGGGGAAAATGGCGTTCGACAGGGGATGCTTACTTCTGCATGGCACCTGACCCTACTTTTATTTTTCCAGAGGTCCATGTTTGCTCTACTCACAATTTGTATTGTTTTATTGGATTTTGAGCTTGATTATTGAGCATTATCTTCACCTTTCATTTAGATAATTTCCAGACTCGCTTGATCATTGCAAACATTAGTAATTGCATATTTTATCGCTAAAAAAAACTTAGGTTTGTGCCAATTGCACAAAATGTACAATAAAACTCAGAGACATTTTAATCTTTCGTACATATATGAAGAAAAGAGGCCGTTTTCTGGCGTCTCGTGATTATAGGAAACAGAATTTTACTCTTATAAACTATTCTTTGCTCAAATGCATTGAAGTCCTTTAGTTACAAATGTAGTTCCATCGTAAATCGTCAAAAATTTCTCGAAGTAAATGAATGTATTTTACTTATATTTCTATGAAATTACTAATTTACTTTTAATGTAAGGGTGATGGCATAAAGTTAAAACTAAAAACCTTTTTTGCAGGAAACGATCAAGTATACAGACTTTATACCAGAACTCGATTAAACACGTGTGTGACAGAAAAAAGGAACATCTGAGTGTGGTCTATATCTGTCTTTGTGTTGGTTTCATTCTCACAAACTTTTACATCAACACCGTCATCTCTCATACGTAAGTCAGTTACATTCCCATATAAAATGAAACAAATCTTCAATACAAAATATGTAACTTACTAAATATTTTCTATATACATCTGTTAACAAATATTTTTCTTAAATGAATAGATGCATTGTTTGTTGTTATGACAACAGAACTTTAGTCTGACAGGAAATTCTACTTGTGAAAAATTCATCATTTATAGGATTCTCACTAATTTGATATTTACATAGATGATTAAATGCACCTATATAGGGATACTGTAATAGTTACCTTTTCAGCTTGTTTTGGAGAAATGTAAGCTACCTGTAGTCACATTTGAAACAAAAAAAAACTCTTTCATTTTGAACAGCCTTAACAAGTTCTATCAAAACAACATTGCTTTAATATTATTTCTTTGTAAAAAGTTACATTATATAGTAATTATTGGTCAGTTTATACGTGGTTGCTTAATCTTCTTTGAAACATTTCTAGTAATCTTATTCTTCATATGGCATCACAAAATGGCGAATGTTAAAGAATTTAGTGGTGTTCTTTTAATAATCAAAGTTCTATAAGAGAGAGTGTCGTAATGGCAACAGGTTCAGTATGTACTGTTTGTGATCGCTCTATCATGATTAGCTGGAGCAGTGTGATGCGTTTATTTTTTTCAGTTCATCGACAGACTTTATAGTTCTAGCCATATCGGTACTGTTTCAACTGAGTTTTATCCCCGTTAATCTCCTCATTGGTAGAAAAGAGGTGAGTTTGTTCTAGAACAATATAAAAGCTAAGCTAATAACATTGAAAATACTTGTTTTGTTTTGTTTTTTTTGTTTCTTGGTTAGGGTTTAAAATTATTTGGGTTTTTTTTCATGTCAACAGGCCTAGGAAAACGCTTAAAATATTTATTTGTTTATTATGCTGTATTTATGTCCTAAAACTATTTACTTCAACATGTTCTTTTTTTATTATTTCAACGTGTTTATAGAATTAATATAATAATACCCGTGGGACTACATTAATTTCATTAAGATTTCATTACAAATCTTAATGGTGACTTCGATTTTAGTGCATAGTTTCATTGATTCGAATATTTTGAGTAAGCACATGACGCAATGATCATGCGGCATTTAAGAAATGAAGTCCGCGTTTTCGTGAATGTTGCGGGATAACCTCCGAGGTCGAGAAATGTTGTTTGAAATATAAAAGCCGAGGCGTTAGCTGAGCTTTTATTATATAATTTAACGCCTCGGCTTTATATTTCAAACAACATTTCTCGACCGAGGAGGTTATCCTGCATCATTCACGACAACAAGGACTTTATTTCTATTCAACTAACAGCTCTAAAATACGTTTCACCTATAGAAAAACGAATGTTAGGTCACCATGTCGCGATTTCGCTGTTCCATTTAACACCAGAGGACCAATTTGTTCGTTTACTTGTATAGAATGCAGACGATTTAAGCTTTTGTTGGGTTAAAAATATCCTTTGATTGTTTATAATTTGTTTGTAGCATAAACTGATTAATTTTTATGAATGTATAATAGCAAAATCAGTTGTCTATTGCATTGCTTTATCAGTAAAATCACGGAGTGTAAATGTTTTTGGGAGGTCCTTGGAACAGCCCAACTTAGCTATAAAAACCCACATTTTTCAGCTGTTTTCTCTTTAGACTGCGAAGACGACACATCGATATGGTTTAAATGAATATTAGATTTTACAGTGAAATATTCATTTCATCAGTCTTGTTTAAAGTCATCATTTCGTAAATTCTATGGTCGATACAATGACCTTGACAGTAAATACAATCTATCATTGAATCGAATGCTGTCTGAGGTTTTTCATACTCATTGTTAGGCCATTATTTCCTCACTGATTTGTCGACCGATTTTCCCGTTATTTCCCGATCATGACAAGGAGCACATGGCGGGTGTGACCGGTCGGCAGGGGATGCTCACTATTCCATTGCACCTAATCCCACCTCTGATGGTTTAGAGGTCCGTGTTTGCTCTGCTCCTGATTTGTATTGTTTAATGGACTTTTGAGCTTGAATACTGTTTGTTATTTCCATATACATGTATTTCAATTCAACTGTACAGCTTTGATATGTGTTTCTGATCTGATAATTTTTTTATGACGTTCGAGATTTATTGGAGAATAATGTCCGCGGCATTTCTTTGATCTCGGCAGAAACCGGATGTAAGCGCCGGCTTAACAGCCTCAGGGCTTGGAGAAGGATTTTTTAAAAACATCTTTCTTTTTCATATTTCAAGAATCACATATAGTTCCTTTATCTTGGTATTAGGACTTTCTGATCAATCAAGAGTGTTTTGTTTGTTTGTTTGTATGTTGTTTAACGTCCCTCTCGAGAATTTTTCACTGGAGACGCCACCACTTGCCGGTGGAGAGCTGCAAATTTTGTCCTATACTCGGCACTTACGGCCATTGAGCAGTGAGGGATCTTTTTCGTGCCAGCACCTACTGCGACACGGGACCTCGGTTTATACGGTCTCATCCGAAGGACCGGTCTCCACGACCCACAGTGGGATTCGAACCCGCGACGTAAGGATCAACTCCTTACTCCGCGACTCTAGAGCAGACGCTCTAACCACTGCGCCACGCGGGCGACCAATCAAGAATGAAAGGTCATTGAAATTGACTACGATATCCGGGTACTGTTTCTGTTTATCATATGATTAACTTTTCTGTTTATTGACTTTGACATTTTGGCACGTGTTTCTATTTTATTATTCCAGGGTCATAAGTCGATTCTAACTTTAATATTTGGGCACTTGTTTTTGATTGGAGTCGTTGCTTACTTCAGTTTTTCAACTGTGATATTATTGGTATGTTGATAATTTTATTTAGTGTTTTAACACATTTATAATCTGAATAAAAGAATAAGTGTGTCGTTAACAATGTATTTACCTTATTAACAAAATTAAGAAACATATCTTCAGCAAAAGGAAACATTAACTTTTTATTTCTTTCATTTTCTGTTTACATGTAACCCATTCTTTAATTTCTTTTCAGGTAGATTGTAAAACCAAATTTTTATCATACAACGATACAACGGTTCTCGCCTCTTCACCGCTCAATGATGACATGTGTTCTTTCCAGTCCTTTCTCACAGTAGCAGCTAGTATTCTGTTGGTCGCTTTCTCCACCTGTGGTGTGATTGGACTGGCCAGCAAGCTTTGTTTTATTACTACTATTGCGACACTACACTATCTAATAAATCTCACTGTCTTTCCTTCATTTTCTAAGTGGTTTTTAGATTATCCCGGGTGAGTATTATTTTTCTTTATTTCTGATTTTATTGTAAGTTTGATTGTCATACTGTTGCCTTACTGAACTCGACATATTTGCAAATAAGTACTTTTTAAGTAAATATTTTTTTTCCTTTTTAAATCAATTGTGAATTGCACTGTGTGCTGTGCCTCTACTTACTATTTAAGGGATATTTTAAAGTTTTATATGAGTAATTGGTGGCCTGTCCCATTTTAAAAATTGATCGAAAATTATAGAAAATTAAATGAATGATTACTTTATAAATAATTTAAACATTGCCGGGATCTTTTAATTAATCTTCATTATCCTAGTAATATCTCAAAGATACTGACATTTTGCATAAATCTTTTTTTTGATACTGTATCTTGCTGAATGGTCACGACAAATATTATATAGTAACGTTTTTAAGAATATGAGTTTTATCACTTGCTCTTCTCTATTATTCTCCACAATTTAAAAAAAACATGTCTAATTATTGTCTCATGTAAAATGAAGAGGAATCAAAACGCGTGACAATGTTTGTTTACAGGTCATCAGTGCCAAATCACGATATGACGGTTCACTTTAGTGGAATTTGCGTCTGTGTCCTCTTTCTTAACATACAGGTATTCTCTTAATCATTCTTCATTTACACTCATTTACATTCTTACAAAACTTGAAGGTTTTTTAAATCACCATCTTCTGAAATTTCTCAGGAATCACTTTTACTGAGCTAAGTCTTTCAAAATCTTTCTTCTGGAATTTCGTCTCATCATCTTAATTAATTATATCAGGCAGATGATTTATTATTCTCCAATTAATTTTCTTCAAAACTCATTAAACATAATGGAATCCTATCGATTATGTTTGTTTTGAGCTTTTCTTTCTCTCTCCCAAACTAAATTAGCTTTACTTTATCTTCATATGAAATGTGTTTCTCTTTCTATTTATCTAACATCTAGGTTTATCTATAATCAATCATCATTGAAGTTTATCTTTCTTTCAATTGACTTAACATACTAATATATTTATTAGTATTTTTATAAGGATTAACACTAACTAGAACATGGACGCTTAGACTCCACAAAATAAAGTATAAGGAATAATTTAAAACATAAGCTCCTTATTTTTAGTTTTGGAAAAAAAAAACAAATAAAAGAGCACTTTGTTAAAGTATTTGAATTGATCTCCCAATCCATACTTTTTCAATCTTATGGGGAAATTAATGTTGTCCTTTGTTTGAGTTATTAGACTTAATGCAGGTGTTATTTTGTTTTAATCAACTTTTTTCTTATGTAGGAATTTCATTATCTTTTAAAATAATCTATATGTATTTGAATGATTTTTTTATAAATATTATTCGTGTGAGCTTAGATGAAATAATTATAATGCATCGTTCTTTTTCACAATGTAAAGCATTGTTGCCTTACCTTTAATTAATCAATTATAAATAGTAAGCTAGTATTTATCTATTATTTATTGACTGATATGAACTTTATTAAATTGATTGTAATTTCAAGGTAGCGTGGCCGAGCGGTCTAAGGCGCTGGTTTTAGGCACCAGTCTCAATGAGGCGTGGGTTCGAATCCCACCGCTGCCATGATTATTTTTTCATGCTTTTTTATGTGCTGACCGTTGATTACTACGGGCTTAGAACCTCCATGACCCTATATCACACCAACAAAATCACACAAGTTAAATTGATGCATAGCATCAAATCGGCCGCAAAAAATATATTTAGCATTTTAAGTATTTCCACAAGAAAGAGTCCAAATAGAAAAAGAAGAAAAAGTATACGATACATTTTTATTGCAAACTGTACACTTGCCTAACTTTTCTATGCATTTTTTTTATACTTTAAGGGGATGAAGGACACATGGTCACATGACTCTGTTTAACTACGTCATAGTCTCCGTTTATATAAGTGCAAAACGTGTAAAGCATCAGTTCTTGTATAATTTTTTGACAATTTCTTAACTTTTATTACCATCTTATATAAAAAAATTAAAAAGTTTTAACATTTTGTAAACATTAACAAATTATGAAAAAGATTGATCCACTCCTCTGTTTCCCTAAACTGCAAGTCGGTGACGTCATACACGATCTGTTAGTACAGCAAGATCATACTCGGTGAACAGAGGGGCGGTATTATTATGTAAAAACAGGTCATAATCAGTATATAATGAAATATTTTGAGAAACGGGGAACACAAAAATGATTTTTGCATGGCTGATGACGGAAATCTTATGTAGGTATATCTTATTTCGCTTATTTAGCTTACGTGTGACGTCATAATTGGTTTTTCCCGTACTCGAGAAATGTAACATGACACGTTTTTGTCATGCTTATGTCCTCTTTAACGATGTCCTGTGAAATAATGAGGTCAGCTTCATCATTCGAAAGTTAATCAATAATTTGAAGGATTTGCATTTCAACGTAAATTAAAAAATTTTGAATGATAGATTTTTTTGTAAATTACGTTTTTTATTGTTTAAGTTGTCTTAAAAAGTGCGCACTTTTCCCTATCCAGATGCAGTGTGATAGACAAAACTTGCTTTTTCGAATTTTAAATCCTAGTTATACTCTGAAATATTTTAAAAGATGCATGTCCACTTTGATATTTTTTATGTATGCTTAAAAAATCCCATTATGGACAGAGTAATGCGCCCGGAAACATGGAGAATTAAAACTCCACTTAGATACTGTAGGGCATATTATTTGTCAATCAATATCTCCAAAATAAGGTAAGAAATCTAATGATATAACTGCTTTAAGATATGTGGGACATACTTAATTAGAAATATACAAAATATGAAAAAAATTGAATGACAAGTATTTTTTCAGCTCAAGGTCCTTCTCCTCCTTAAATTTCAGTGATCAATTGTTAAATATTTATTTAATCAAAATAAATAAATTCATGGAAATTAAAATCGGACTACGCGCGATTAAAAGAATAGGAATGTATTATTGTCAAATTAGTTGATTCAAAGACAAATGCTACAAATGTCTTATCTATATATATATTTATTAACTTCAAAAATATAGCAGCTGTTTAGGAAGTCTTATTTAATAATTAGATATTTAAAGTTTTATTTTAAAATTAGATAATTAAACGAATTGACCAATATTGATTTAGAAAAAAAATTAAATACACCCCAAGAAAATTTTCTCTCAATTAAAAGCATAATGAATAAATTTCCCTAAATTACAGAGATCATGGACGTTTTGAGCACTTCAAAATTATATAAATGTAAAAACAGATGGCTTCTGCCAGTAATACTTCTTGATATATTTTTACAAAGCTTTTCAAAATGCGGGCAAATTAAAACAAAATGATATTCATCCCCTACCTCTCCTTTACAATTCTACATATTCTATTCTCCCTGAGTATTTAATTATGTCGTCCTGTTTCAATTTGAAGATTATGAGAGGAAAGCTTAATTCGACTTATTTGTTTTTTGTATATAGAAGGTATAGGCTTACAAAGATAGTGCTGTGAAGAAAATTATCTACAACATGTTTATAAATACATATATTACATTTTGATGAACCATTGATTTCTTCCTTTACATTTTGGACACTAATGTCAAACAATCTTTGTTTTATAATTGGGAAAAAAATTACAACTTGCTCTATCTTATTCACACCAAATATATCCTAACCCAATTTCATACAATTTTTAAAATAGACAACAAGGTGATATGTCTGTAGCCTAAGGCAAACCCTGTTGTCAGACTGTATATATATATATAAATGTGCTTTATAAATAAAAATTAATTTCATTACAACGTGTATTGGTAACGATCCTCTGATAAAACTAATGTCCAAATAACTGTATCTCACTTCCATTCTCAATGACCGTGTAGTGTAGGGCAGCGCCGCGAGAATTCCATCGGCATCGAAAGCAAGTTTTTTGACTTGCCTAAATAGCCGAGCGGTCTAGCGCGCTGTTCCTGTACTGCTAGGAGACAGATTCCGTAGGTGGAGAGTTCAACCCCGGGCATGGGCGGAAGTGGGTATCCTCATAAAAAAGTGAATTTCTTTGTGCTTTATATATATATATATATATATATATATATATATATATATATATAAAATATTTAATTATTTTAGTTGGATATAGTGAAAAGCACAAGTAAAAATAAAAAATTCCCTTCTCGCGAGTACACACACTCACACACACACACATATAGATAGATAGATAGATAGATAGATAGATAGATAGATAGATAGATAGATAATATTATTATTATAAACTTAACCACCCAAATATTTTCACTATGTCTACTGAGAATGAACAAGGTTAAGATTACTAACAGTGATCTATCTGGAAAAAATCTTCAAACAATACAAATCCGTGAACAGGGCATAAAACACGGACTCCCGGGAATCCTAGAGATGGGATCAGGTGCCTAGGAGGAGTCAACTTCCCCTTACCAAAACCGACCCTGAGCCCTAGCTATTGATCAGGTAGAGGGAATATTCCATAATCAATTTTAGTATTAAAACAAAGGCCTTACAATTGGTATGAAACTCGTCAGCCAAAATATGACGAGTTATATTTCCTTACAAGGTCAGTATAACGACTATAGAATTTACGAAACAATGACTTTAAACGAGGTTGTTGAAATCACTAGTAGCCTGCCTTTGATTGATAATTGATCGTACTCTGAGCATGCTCTTTAGTATCAAATAAGTTGGGAGATGTAAACACCATATGCAGTTGATAGCGGAATAGTTGAAGTCATATCGTCATACGATTTAGTTATTAGTATGCACTTATCGTCAGTAAAACATCCAAATATGAAACAGATGTGGCAGACTTTGTGGTGTCTTTTATTTTGAGTTCACTGTAATGTAAATCTTTTTTTTTTTCATTTTCACATTTCATAACCTATTTTTATCCCCTTGTCAGACAAAACGACAAATATAGAATTTTAAACTGAGTGTTTTCCCCCTTTTTTACATTTCACAATATGAGGTTATATAACCACCAAAGATAATAAAGGTACATCATACAATTCCGTATGGAAATTATACGATTATAGTTTTTGTTTAATTCAATTTTGAAGTATGGATAATGATTTCCTACATGTAGTATATGCTATACATCTGTGGCAAAGTCATGGGAATTCCGATAGATTGTTGGATGGAAAACCTGGTCTGCAAAATCTACATAGATGTTGTTAATGAGAGACTCAACATTCTTTTTATTATTAACCACAGAGTACTTACATTAAGAATTAAAATGATTTTTGCAGATGACAATTGATAAGTATGCAAATTTATGAGTTCCACACATTTATTTTATTTATTGAAGAAGAAATTGTCTTTGATGCCAAAAAGCCGGGTTTTTAAATTATAGTAGGGAATGTATGTGTTTATCAATTAGATGTTTCAACCTCAGATCTCAAACCTGTTTGTTTATGGAAATAATTCTATACAGCTCTACATTTAAGAAATTAAAGGTATATATTCCAGTGTCAATCTTTATTTGATATAGATGAGGTGCAAACACCAGATTTGGATAATGTTCGTACCGTTACCTACATGTCACCCTCAACATTTGAATTGATTTAATTTTATATTAATCTTTGCTTAATTGATCACTAGAAACACTCATATTATGTAGGAATACCTGTGTCTTATTTATACTTTTTAGAAAAATTAAAAAAAAATGTACCGTATGTTCCAGCCAAAACAAAACAAAACAATAAAAAACTAATAATATCCCAAATAAAATATTGTAAGTCAATGAAAAAGGCAAAGATCATTAACGAAGCCCACATTCTTTTAAACAATATATACTGTGTACAGGGCAAAAACACATGGTCACTTCTAGTCAGGTTTAAACTGACTTCAAATATGGGACAACCCAAATCAATTAAACTGGTGTTCCTCGTAAAGATTTTGATTGGGTCTCTGCATTTATTTGATGCTTATGCTGTAGATCTCCAGTCTTTCCAGTGGGCTAGTGGCTTTAACCTTAAGAAATAGACGAAAAAACCAACAGCTTTTAGACTGTAAACAGAAATACAGATTGCTGGTGCTAGAATGCTTTCCATTTGAAGTAGCGACCGCCTTTCTTAACTTTGTTGACCATCATAAGGTAAAATATGCATTGTATATATTATACTTCTGCACGTCTAAAAAGAAATTGTTTTGCACGAACTGTTTAACCTTAAAATTTGAAGGTAGAATATATGTTAGGTTTCAGGACCTGCGAGTCCCTTATAATAATGATTTATTAGGTACTCAATAATGTTGTTTGGGACACAGACTTGTATATATCTTTTATTGCAAGTGCATTGTGATGAAATGAAATTTAAAGTTTATAAAATATAATTGATCTTTAAATCATTTTACAATCTGTTTGATATAAGAGGAATATGTTTATGTAAAATATTTTAAAATTACATCACCGTCAAATTCATTCATGTATGTAATCCATATATGTATCTTATTGTTCTGTTTCCCTTTATAGAGCGTGTTTGAGGGAACATTTAATGATGTCGGTGTTGCGATCCTTTCGATGCCTTCTCATGAAGAAACGCTAGATTTGGACAATGAAACATCCGAGATTGATGACAAAATATTACAAATTATTGAAAAAATAGATAAGGTGCTGTATGAAGAAACACTAGATTTGGACAATGAAACATCCGAGATTGATGACAAAATATTACAAATTATTTAAAAAATATTTAAGGTGCTGTTTTAATGGCAAAAATTCATTACCGAGGCCTTTTTAAAATTTTTATTACTAAGTGAAATAATTATAACTGATAAGTGAAAAGTGAGTCAGATTAATCTTGATTTTTAAGTTTACATTTAGGTTTTGCTCCATTTGATTTTTGTGATTTAGATTTAATGAAATTCTGCCAGAAGCAACAATTTTGAACAAAATAAAACTAAAAGAATTTCATCAGACAAAATTATCACAATTCTGAGGAAAGTTGATCTTTATATAGTATGGAGTTAAACAAAAATGATGCAAATGGCACTGATTTATGGAAACGTTGATCTTGCATTATTCTAACCCCAAATATTTACATTATTTTATTGAATATGAAAATGTGGATGGAATTAAAGTGTTATTTTGCACACCACATCACACAATCTCTATAAAATGTCTCTTCAACAATATCAGGAACGTCCTTTGAAGTATCACGGCCTCCAAATGTCAATTAACGTGTTATATTAAGTAATTATTTACAACTACTCAGTATCTCCGGATATTTCAGTCCTCAATAGACATGTCTCTACATAATTGATTGTACTTTTGTCATGAGGAAAACTTTGTTTTAAAATTATATTAAAAATTTATAATTACAATATTTCAAACATCAATAAAAAAGTAGAGTCTTAGTGCTTTCATATTCTAAAAAAAATGTCCTCTGAGAGTGTAAGTATTGAAAAGCAGGCTTTGTGAAATTGCAATATTCTTGAATTTTGAAGAAAATTTGTGTATTTGAATACCTTCAGCAAAGAAATAAAGTATGAGCCCACCTCTCCATCCGAAACATAAAACAAGGGTTAGAATCTTCTGAAACAGTATTTTTTTTTCATTATATAATCGAACATTTGGATCAGAGGTTGAAGTCTATGCAAAATATTGAAAAACAGCTTCAATTTTTTACCATTTTGGAAGAAATTTTCAGGATTTGAGGATAATGATGTAATTCATGATCTCATAATACATGGAACTACGAGAAAATTACGAGAAATTTAAGAGATATGCAGTCACCAAGGGTCCAAGTGAAATGAATGTATTTTCAACGGAAACAGCAGTTTTGATTTTTCACAAATCCACAGGGTAAAACAAAGCCCCACGCGAACATTTAATTTAATACTTTATCATTTTGTCTTTCACTTATTTACAACTTTCAATTGTTACTGAGTACATTTATTAGTCATGTACTTTTTGATAATTGAAAACTGTAAGTTCGTGAAATAATTTTGTCATAATAATTTTCCCTTGATCACGTGTTATTTTTCAACCAATTAGCATCCTGCAGAAGTTATAGCAAGTGTAGATATTAATGGTGAAGTCTATTTTATTAGCTTACTCTAAACAAAAGCTCGTTTGATCTCTCAGATCACCCGTCGTCTGTGTCCGTCTATATGACTGTCTGTAAACTCAGGGCTCTAATTGGCGACTAATTTAGTCGCCATGGCGCCTAAAATATTTGCTTAGCGCCTAAATTTTTTCCATGAGTCGCCAAATTGGCGACCATTTTAAATTGACTTGGTGATCGTCGAATTCCGGAACTTTTAACATTTCTGAAAATTTTGTTTTTCTGTAGAAGCGAAAAGACATTTAAAAGAAAAAAAATTATTTTTAGCAATTGACCTGTCGTGTTTTCTTAGTCACCTCTTTGATTTTTTAGTAAGCACACGTGTGAACAAAATTTTATTTGCGTTGCGTCATGGGTCCATACATGTATATTGATAAAAATTAACTTTTAAAGTTGGCACCTAAAAAAAATTGCCTGGCGACTAAAAATTTGCATTGGTGACTAAATTTTTTGGATAAGGCGCCAGCTGGCGCCTAAATTTTAGAGGTCACTTAGAGACTTGTAAACTTTTACCATTTTCGGTTTCTTTGGGCTAATTTCAACCAGACTTGACACAGAATAGTCTTGGGCAAAGTAATTTTAGTTTTGTTAAAAGGGCCATGTTGTTTTAATCTGTACATTTTTGTAATGAGAAAAAACACTATCAAAAGTAGCGACAAATTGAAATTTACACAATCAACTACATTTGTATTCAAACTGTTTTGGCGTGTATTATAGAAATTATGTTAATTTGGCAAAGAACGTTGCATACATGTATATGTATAAATACAATGATCTCGCAATAATACCTCCACAAGCACCCCTTCCCCCTCCCCCCACACAAATTCAATATGAAAATCATGAAGGAATAGAGTAATATAATATTGCATACCAGAACACAGTTTCTCTGCAACGATTTTAGGGTAATTGGCCCGATCCTTTGAAGTAAGGAGGCTTTCAAATATCAATTAACATGCATTAAATTAAGTAATTATTTACTTCCACAAAGTGATCTCCGGGCATTTCAGTCTCTATTTCCTCAATAGATATTCCTGTAAAATAATTGTTTGTACTCTTGTCAGAGGGATTTTATCCTTGATGTCTCGTTATTTTTCTATCAATCAGCATTTTGCTGTATAGATGAAAGGGTTTGTTCTCTCTATAGAAGGTTTCTCCTATTTGCAATCATCATTTTTCAAGGCTGCGACATTCTAATTACTTTTCATCGATTTTACAGATTCTGCTGGAGTTTTCGTACAGCATGGTACATCGGGTAGCCTCTTCTGTGACGTCACACACATTTATCAGTGGAGTGAGCTATGGCGTCCAGGTGCGTTTTCCCGAAATCATTAGCAATTATTTATCTGATAATGTTCCAAACAGTGGCTTCATATAATTAATGAAAGCTGTCTGAAATGCTTTGAAAGGATTTAGAGGAAATCATTAAAGTACTAGTATGCAGTTCAACTTAACAGTACTCACTCTTGTACAACACATACCTGTACTTTTATTCAATATGGCTTTTTAGCTATACAATCCAGTAGATTTCAAGTTCTATATCATCATGATTATATTTGGATAACAATTCATGACAATAAAAGTTAAAGGAATTGTAATCTTTTAAATATTTTTTTGAAATTTGTTTAATTTTAATTTGTTTATTGCTGTAATAAAAGGTCATATTATTCAGATAGATTATATTCAGATTTATTTTTAAAAAATAGTCTTTTTTGCTGCTTTCGTGTACATGTATTATTTACTACAAAAATAAAACATTCCTTGAAAAAAAAGTTAAACGTGAATTATGGAACATGGGCTACACACATATTGTTTGCTTTACTGAACCACAGAATTAAGTATATTTCCTATCATCCCTAACCAGGTAACATACTAGTATCTTTTATACATGTAATTAATATATAAAAATTGTTTTAGTGTTCTTTACAAAAATTTCGATATAATTTCTAGGATCATCAAGATGTGGAGGATTACAGACATCTAGATCAATTGATGAGTTTTGTGAATCAAGTTCAAAAGATATGCTCAGAAATGAATGTTGAAAATATGAGAGCAGGTAAATAATAAACAATATGACGTAATAACGATTGTCAAAACATTTAATCATTGTTTTTCTGCACACGCGCCAAAGATAAAAGCATTTGTGTTTAATATCGTTAGGTGTACACTTTGGATCCGCTTTGTCCAGTATCGTAGGTGGATCCAGAGCTCGTTGGGGTGTTTGGGGAACAACCGTAGATATTGCCAATGGAATTCACTCTACATCAGGACCAAACGCAATTAAGGTATTTTGTGTGAATAAGAAAAGAATAGTTAAAGATTTCCCTTATATGTCCGGACTGAGCAAACAGCAGGATATGTAGGCAATATACCAGGTATATAGAGAAACATGTTATAAGTTGGGGTATAACGTCAATATCTATATGTTCATATATATGCTCTGATTTTGCCACTTAATAGTGAACCGATATAATTTACCAAGTTTTTTTTTTAAGAAGAAGAAACTTTAATGAACTGGTATTCTTACTGAAATACTGTGTTGCTTGTATAAAGTAGTATCATTTAAATAGTGTTCCTCTATATTTTAGATGTTTTCATTAAAACGGAGCATATTTTGGTACAGGGGGTTCAAAATTATTGAAATGAAAGACGATGTCCTCTTTAAAGGAAAAATAGTCCAGAAGAGTCAAAATTAGGTTGGGTCATCTCAACACCAATTAGCCAGCAAAATGAAACTTTAGTAAAAGGTTCCTGACATAGCTTAGCTTTTAAGTTTGCTCAAATCATTACCCAGGGGATAGGTTGGGACCACAATAGGGGATTAGAAAATATATAGGATTTTTTAATTTCCTTCTGAAGAACAACTGTGCCATGATTAATCATATCAAAATGTTAACATCCTCGGGTACCGCAGGTTCTTGGCTTGGGATGTAGGATTGGCTATGATATGGATTCTCAGTTTTATTTTAATGGGAAAGTATGAGGAAATCATAGAAAATCTTCCCATGAGAACGACAGGGTCATGATTAGTCATATTATTCTGTAAAAATTTTCAAGTTAGTTTGAATCATGGCTCGGGGTTGAATGGGGGCACATATGGAATCAAAACACGGGAACATGTAGGAAAAGAATCTTTTCAAGAAACACTGGGCCATGATTTGTCATATATAAGTGAAACATTCCAATATATCCCTTGGCGTAGGGTCACGATATGGAGGCAAAATTTTCCATAGAAATTTAGAGGGGGAAAAAAAACTCTTGAAAATCTTCTTGTGAAGAACAGCAGGGCCAAAGTGACCAGATGAACGTTTTAGCCCATATGCCTCATCTTAAATTTTGCAGTTTCAGCGGATTTAAATTGTTTTATATTTATTTTTAACAGGTGTCAAAGGAGGCTACAGATATTTTGGAGACATTTGGATACAATTTCGAAAACCCAGAGAGTTTAGAAGTTGCTGATGTATCTGTAACAGTTTTTACATACAGAGAATCTTCACCCACTTAAAAGTATAATGCTGTGTCGGAAAATGCACAATAATGATTGAAGTATCGGTAATAAACTTTGGTCAATTTCTGGAATACTTTAACACCATTCCTTTGTCATAAATTTCTTAAATTTCAAAACACAAATACCTACCTCTAACCCGTGGCAAAAAAGAGCATAATGTAAAACATGTGAATGATAATTGATAATAAATTTAACAAAATATTTTCGCTTGATTATGTTTTATGGAAAATGAATTACATCTGTAAAGGATTTTGCTAAACAGAGAATATGTCAGTCAAAATACGATCTAACGATAACAGACCTGCCTACCCTTCCGCTTTTGGCGTAATTCTTCCGCTTTTTACCACGTAATTACGCTGTTACGCCATGAAATTTAAGTTTACGCTTTTAAATATTTTTCCTAGACAACTTAATGAAAGGCTATCGTGGAAGTTAAAGTAAAGGCTTTCCTAAATAAAAACGAGAAGGTAATTAATACTAATTAATCGGGGGTTTCGGTTCTTCACGATTTGATTATTTACGATACAAACAACATACGTAATATACTTTGTAGTTATGCCTTCTAAACGGGTGGCATGCCAAAATTAAGAAAAAAACTTTTGAATGAAATGTGCAATAAGTAAAGTCGGTTTAATTTTCAATTCCGTTTATTCTTACACTGCTTAGAACAACACTGAGACAAGTAAATGTAAGGAAAACAAAAACGAAATAGCGCAATAATGTAGAATTTGTATTAACATGCAAATGAAACTTTGAATTATGTGATTTTCTATAAATTTTCCAAAAGTTCATTAGGCATGTAAATCAAATAAATTTGATATGACTGCATTTAGGATACCAGTTTTACAACACATTGCCTTTTTTCAATAAATGATTTGAAAACGGAACATTCATGCTTGCTTTGTTCAATGATGTACAGTTACAGGTTTATTTAGACAATATAGTATAATTGCAAAACATCAAACTAAGGAAACATAAAGGATTACGCCTTAATCTCTGAAATTCCGCCAAAATGAGTATTGAAATTACACCCTCGCAATGAAAAGGGTAGGCAGGTCTGCGATAGGTAAATTTGCAAACAAGATCATTATAACGACCAAAGAATGATCGAAAGGATTGTTGAAGGCCCTATAAAAACAACCTATGTATTAGTAGCCTGGTTTGGTTTAAAAATTAATCATACTCAGAACATACTTTTGCGTACCTAATGTAGCTAGGAGACATAAAAACATACGCAGGGGATAGAGGAATTATACTACATGAATAAGGGTTGACGATGGAAAAGCTGACGTCACACTATCTGTCATATAGTTTAGTTGCCAGTTCCGTATTAAGATCCAAATATGAAACAAATTTTGCAGAGCCTGGTGTTTTTTTTATTTGGCAATCACTAGGATTTGTCGAGTCGACATATTATATGAAATGAAATGTGGAGATAACGTTAAAACTATACAAATCGAGAAAAAAAAGCAAACACGGACCTCTAAAAACATCAGAGGTGGGATAAGGTGCCATGGAGGAGTAAGCATCCCCTGTCGACCGGTCACACTCGCCATGTGCTCATTGTCATGACAATTCAGTGTTTAGATAATGGCCTAACAATTAATATGAAAAACGTCGACTTAATGATAGATTGCATTTGCTGACAAGGTCATTGTATCGACCATAAAACTTGATGACTTTAAATGGGAATGTTGATATCCTTGTTTCATCAACTTGTTTGTCAATAGCTTGCCTCGTTTTAGAAATTGTTCATACGTGGAGCATGCTCTTGCGTATCGAATCAACTGGGAGATATGAACCCCGTATGCAGGTGATAAAAGTGTACTGACACACAAAAGAAACGCAACAAGCAATAAACTACAAATATCTTATTTTTTATCTAATGATTTTCAAAAATGAATACAGTAAGGTAAAACTTGATTTAAAATCATCAGAGAATTGATAAAAATGTTGAATGTTATCTTTTTACTTTATAAAGTAACACATGCATGTAACTGTTACCCCCCCCCCCCCCCTTTGGCCATTCAAATACAGCGTGCAAGTCCGCCATGCACAGCATTTGCAGCTCGATTTCTATGATGCATTAGGTTCATCAAACTCTTGATCTGATTGAAAAAAAATATTCTTTGGCATTTTTAGTGCCTGTTTTTCAGATGCTAAGGTCGAATTTTCTAGAACCTAGCGCAGTGTAGTAACTCTTGGACTTCCGGTCCACGGACTCTCATTCATACAGGAGCCTGGTGAGGCGCGAGGTAGTGCATGTTTCCATCTGCAGCTCTCTTTCATCTTAAGTTATTTTTGAGAATTTGCAGCTAGAGCAATGGAAATGCGTACTGAAGTCATTTGGGGGAAGCCTTAGCATCACTTCAGGAAAAGAAAGGAGATTTTTTTCGGAATATTGCTGCATTACTTATGATTAACAGATACAAACGTTTGAAAACCCAAATTAATGCCAAATGATTTGTTAACCATGCAATTTTTGATTTCTGTTTAGAGGACTTAAACGTAACTTCCGGTAATGGTATAAATCAAGTACGAAATTATTACCTATATATAATTTTCCCCGTAAAATAGGAAGTTTCTTTTGCGTTTCAGTATATATATTGCTACATAAGTAAGGGAAGTTGACGATAGAAAAGTTGAAGTCATCACATTTATCATAAAGTTTTGTTGTTAGGTAACCATAAACGTCTTTTTTCCAGTAAAATATCCAAATATGAAACAGATGTGTCAGACTCTGTGGTATCTTTCATTTCGAGTTCACTGGAATAGATCAAGTATATTATCTACTTCAGAGCACTTGTGTGTACGATCAGAATGTTTTTAACAAAATAATTTTGCAAGTGACAAAGTAAGTATATTTACCAGTTCCATTTTTATTGAAAAAGCAGCTGTCTATAATATCAAAAAGCCTGGACTTTAATTTATCATGGCAATGGTTGTATATAGTGTTGAAAAGTCGTGCTTTTTGATGTTAGTGGTTGGTAAAATTTTGTGATTTTAAATTTTGTAAATGTTCCTTGGAGTTTTTAAGTATCCACATCTGATTTACACAACTTCTCGAATATGTTGTTATACAGTACTCCTGAAGTTTCTCCTTCGTGGCTGTTAATATTTTAGTGAGGAGTAAATAAAGAGGCTTGGTAGAACATTTACTGGAACCCGCTTTGTATCTTTGTTTAAATAGACTTTATGAAGTTTAGGAATCCAGTATAGACATGGTCATTCAAATTCATTTTTATTTTTGGAAATATTTAGAGTATTTAAAACTGACATAGGATTTTGAAGAATTTCCTCCTTAGAAGTGGAGCTATGGGTATAAGTTGAAAGTAACTATTGTAAATTGATAAAATCTTCCATGCACGGATACATCTAAATGTTTAAATGATGGCCACAATAAAGGTTTTCTTCTCATATAGAGTTTTTGAATATATCCTGCTTCATAAGAATCTAAAAACAAGTAGGCTACAAAGGAATATAATTTATAGTACCCGCCGGAATGCCAACAGATTATTTGAAGATCTGGTCTTCGAAGACTTCAAAGATATTGCCATTGAGGAATACCAGCATCTTTCAATAGATGTAACAACTTTAGAGAACTTGTGTGTAGAAGCAGAATGATTTCAACAAAGTAAGTTTGTAGTCTTTTTTGGTTATAATAATGTGGCAAATTATCATATTTAGCTAAATTGTATTTTAGCTCAGATTTCCTCTGAGAGTTATCTCTCTTAGATTTAGAGCCTATCGAGAGAGACGAATTTAACTTGATACTACATTTAATTTTTTTGCAGGTAAAAACATATTTAAACAGTATATTTTTTTAAATAAAATTTATGTCAATAAATGTATGTGTGCTTTATTTTTCTTTTTTGAATACGTTACAGAGCGTGTATACTACGCCCTTTCAGCCTCGTGGCTTCAATAAATAAAGATAAAGATATTCCTATGCAAGAGATTGATATTCAGTTGGTTCTGTCCACTTAGTCATTTCCAGAAGCCTATCTGGTTAAGCATTGTAATGTACTTAATCATGAAAATTCAAAAGCTAATAATTTCTGGTTAAGCATTTCTAATGTACTTTATCATGAAAAATCAAATGCTAATAATTTCTGGTTAAGCATTTTTTATGTACTTTATCATGAAAAATCAAATACTAATAATTTCTAGATTACTCCTAATTTAAATATGGACATAACGAACAGTATTCAAGCTCAAATGTCCATTCATACAATACAAATCAGGAGCGGAGCAAACGCGGACCTCTAAAACACCAGAGGTGGGATCAGGTATCATGGAGGAGTGAGCATCCCCTGACGACCAGTCACACCCGTCATGCGCTCCCTGCTATGATCGAGAGAAACGGGAAAATCCGTAGACAATTCAGTGTGCAAACAATGACCTAATAATTAGTATGAAAAAAGTTAGTCAGCATTTGACTTAATTAATGAAAGATTGTATTTGCTGACAAGGTCATTGTATCGACCATAGAACTTATGAAAATTATGACGATGACTTTAAAAGAGACTTTTGATATCCTTGTTTTATCAACTTCTTTGTCAATAGCTTGCCTCGTTTTAGAAATTGTTGGTATGTTGAACATGCTCTTACGAATTGAATCAACTGAGAGACACAAACCCCATATGCAGGTGATGAGGGTATGTTGCTACGTAAATAAGCGAAGTTGACGATTGAAAAGTTGAAGTCATAACGTTTATCATAATTCTTAGATTTATAGATTACTTCTTAATAACTCGAATAGTCTTATTTATTCTACATCCCCTCCCCCCCCCCCCCAAAAAAAAAAAAAAAACTTGTGAACAGGGCAAAAACACGGAATCCCAGAAATTCCAGAGGTGGCATCAGGTGTCTAGGAGGAGAAAGCATCCCCTGTAGAACAGTCACACCCGCCGTGAGCCCTATGTATTGATCAGGTAGAGGGAATATTCTGTAGTCAAATTCAGTATAAAAATAGAGGCCTAACAATTGAAATGAAACACGTTAGCCAAAATACAACCCAATGTTATATTACATTTGCTAATAAGGTCATTATAAGAACCATACAATTTACGAAATG